TCCCATATTTTTCGCATTCAGTACGCTTTTCCATGCCACTTCTTTGTCAACAATCATCAATTGAAACTCTTGTATAAACTGATCGCTGTTAGTTGTTACTACAGTAACTATTCAACATTATTTACATTCCGGAGTATAAAATATGCTTCTTGAAACGCTCAAGTATTTCTATAACTTGTTATTGTATATATTTTAAATACTATTCACTTGAAATTTTAATCATACATATTCGCCAGCAAACTTACTGGTTAACTTTGCAAAACAGGGATATTTTATGTTGTTGTTAATGGCTATAAACCAGCATACGACGAGTATATCCCACTTTTAATACTGGATATTTATAAGATTTGCCATGGTCATATCACCGTGGAAATATTTATATTTAAAAAGATAAATAAATACATTCCGTAGAAAATATATATATTTTTACTACTCCGTTCTTTTAACATTTACGTGACATAGTCACGGTGCTTATTATTTATCAAAATACACTTTTTATGTTTTATTTAGCTTCTTATCTTAGATAATCGTTCGTTTAGGAATATTCGATAATTCGTGCATTAGGTCAGTTTACAACGCCGCTAAACACAATACTTGACGTAAATTTTTGATTTGTTCTCGTCTGACCGAGTCACGATATAGTAGGACGTTTATTAAAGCAACTTGTGATTTGGTGGTCCGTAGATCGTTAAATAGATCTCTCTCGGTGATCCAACTTTACAAGCTTATCTCCTAGATACCCTATTGTCTCATGGTATGACAATTAGCTTACCCCAGCGTGATTGGTCGAATCAGATCACTGAACCGATTGTGTTTTGATTTGAAATGGTGTTATCGGGCCGGTCTAGCGTCACACAGGCAGATGAAACTATTGTTTTCATAATATAAAGCTCTGGTTCACTGGCCTTCGTTATGCACGTGCAGGATTCTATCACTGTCTGTAGCCATGGTAACAGTGCCTAACCACTGAACTGGGTGATTAATCACGTCCAAATAAAACGCATCATCTCACTGTGCAACTAGTCTTGATGAAATTGTGTGTACAACTCCCATCCGACGGGAGTTCGACGTGACTGAGGCTTGTGAAATTTTCATGCTCCGTTTATTTTGTTATTTTGTCTAAATCGCTTTAAATTTCAAGACAGTTTAGAGTTAGCAATGATGCAGTATTTAATTGCGATTTCGGTTAAGGCCATGTTGTTTAGGTAAATTCTTTACAGCGTATTCAGCCCGTCTTGAAACAATATACATATCTATATACTATGGTTTAGACGTTAAATTGTTTGAATATTACGCTGTCCCTCATTGAGTCTATTGGGAGAAAGTTCCCGATTGTTGCAGACGGTTCCGCTAAATAAATTCATCTGTTTCCTTATCTGTAAACGGAGACATGTCATGTGACGTGACCTGGTTTAACTGTGCTTTCTCCCAGAACTACGCGTAGCGCATGAAATAGGGCTGTAGTTTTAACAGCACACCAGCGTTACCATAGCAACGTGAAAAGGAATTACAAATACTATTCGCAGTATGTATTTTAACCAGTTAATTCGCGTTTAAACCTGTGGTTAACTGCACTGCCGCCCAGTCAATATGCCATTGTAACTGTTCATTATTTTCAATTATGTCTCTCTTACTATACGAATTAATTTCGTTTATTTCATGTGGTTACCCTCTCCACGCATTACTGTACAAGCTAAACTGTTTGAATATTTTCTAGCGACTTGGTTTTGTTTTGAAAGTATTGGGAGGATATTGTAACTGTTAAATATTACAAAAGGAAGGGGGGCCAGTTAGGGAGGTAATATGGGGCCGGGTCCTGTATTTTTATTAGCGGGCACAATATTACGGCCAATGTGAGTTGCGTGCATGATGTGGATGATGCTTCCTGAACCGATTCCATTGTTTATAACGTTGTATTGTTTTAGGTCCATCCTATCTTTTTGTGCCATGGGAATTCATATTAACTCCTTTTATTGAGTTATATATATTACCTTTCAGCTAATTTAAACCATTGTTTCGATCTATTGAAAATCTTTTCACATAACCTCAAAGATGTGATGTTACTTTATTTAACAGACTAGCTTTTACTATTAGGCGCCGTTACAATTATAGCAATAGATTATGTGACATTAAAGTATAGCGATATACAATAAATTATCAAGATTCCACGTGTTGCAATCATTTTGTTGTGTCTATTTTACCGGTTGCCTTGCAAGCTGGTTCAAGATTTGCGATCAAACCTCAAAGTTTTTATACCGAAAAGTGCGCGATCATTCTATAGAATTTTGATCACCAAAGTTTGACGTTTGCAGTTATCTAAATTATATCTAATTTGAAGCCTTGCTTTGAAACCTTACTGTTAGCTTTCATTTAATTTTATTACGAATAGTGGTGCATTTAAAGCAGTTTGAAGGACGTAAATCAAAATGTGAAGTTGTCAAAAGCTTGAGAATTCAACAGTGGTCATCTGAGGAGAACGTGCGTCACGTGACCCTGAGAAAGTAAAGGTGTGTTTCCTGCTAACGATCGTGACCGGTTAAGTAACCATTTTGATACTACCAGAGCTTATATAAGAGAGAGCTACAACTAAACAATTCAAGATCGTGTTAATTACTATTTAAATTTTAATACCTTAACGCCTGGAAGTTAGCTGTTAAATCCGGTCACGTGTGGAACTGGATCACGAGACAGGAGCAGCCAATCAGGAGCTGCAAATCACCGATATTTACACTGTTATCCTGATTTCAGCTTTGCTAGCTGTCACTCCGGAGACAATATATATCAGTCACGTGACGCAGTATAAATATGTCGACGGAAATATTTATGATTATTTCTCAAGCGTGATACTAGTTTATGTGTTTACTGTTTAATGTTTACTGTTTAATGTTTTAATGGCAAATATTTTATTGTAATGGTATGGGATTTATTGGAATCAGACATCGAATTGGTTATGACCGTGACTTTGTTAAGCTTGTCTATAAAATTGTGTTTTGGCGACAACCAATGGGTTGCCATGGCAATTCAGTGGGTTGCTGTGGAAGTATGGTAATGATCACGTGACAGCTATTCCACTCATTCTTGTTAATGGAGGATTGTTGAAGTTTCCTCTTTGTGGTACTGAAATGCAACTTTTTACCCGTCGCCTATCCTCGTAATGAACCAATGCCCGATGTGAGTTTCCTGTTACGCTGATAATATTAATTGCTCCCAGATGCTTTAATTCAAAATATTCCACTAATTGATCCCCGATTTTCCATATGAACTAACGACGTTGATTAGGATTTAATTTTAGTTGCTGCTAGTTTCGCGAATGGGTTTACCACAGTTTTAATTAACAAATACAATGCATCGGATTAGTCGTTTCAATCCACGATTCATTATGAGATCTTCTTGCAACTTTCGTAGAACAATAGTCAAATATTTCTAACGGCATATTGTGCTAGGTACCACTTCAAACTGAGTTAAGTTTCAGATCATAGAGATACATAAGCATAGGATGAATTGATCAGTCGATTCGATCTACCATTCAGTGTGTATGATCTGTCATCTGCAGCAATTTTCATATCACAATTGTCAAATATTTCTAGCTTCATGCGGGCCAGCACTTCAGAGTTCAGACTAAGTAAAGTTTCAGATCATAGAGATACATAAGAAGAATTTATCAGTCATTTCGATCCACTATTCTGAGTATTCAGTGTGTATGATCTGTCATCTGCGGCAATTTTCATATCATAATTGTCAAAATTCCAACGTCATGCGGGCCAGCACTTCAGACAAACACTTTCAGATCAAGAAGAAACATAGGAAAACAAGACCCCATCAAGTACAGACCTCATGAACTAGGCGTCAGGACTAATAACAGTAACTGCTAGATGGCAACTCTCCCACTTTTTCATTGTCCCACTTTCTGATTTATACGTGTTAATTTTGCAGCTGAAATACCACCGACTTTTTCAGTTTCGGATAATTTCCACTCAAAAGATCCGTTACATTTATTTTTCTGTTGATGATAAGACTCATACATAAAAAAGGTTCGAGAATGAAAAAGTAGAACATAACAAGACCTATCTTCTGTAATTACTTCTAGAATCACATAAATATCACCATTAATTTTTAGAACCACATAATACATACATATCACGACAAATTCCCGCATGATTAACCCCTCGTACAGTAATTTAATTGTTCCACAGAACTCTGCTCAGAAGTAGCCTCAAACCTACCTTCAACATAGAGCCGCTATCAGCACACGTATTTAACTTGGTGCACTAGTTGCACTGCTTTCATGTCGATTCAGTGCTCTGTATATACTTGTGGCATCAGCTACAATACTACTGCAATATAACTAGTGCTAACTGCTACTTATTATCTCCTTACGAACATGAAAAGTTTTTGTTTGTTCTCACTTTTCTTGTGGCACGTATTTTGACAGATTTCCGCGAGTACTACATGATGCAGATGGTGCCTGTGGCTGTTTATCCTAACCATTAAGTTAACTTGCTCCAACATGCGTAAATGCGTAATGCCAAGACTCAAGTGTGTGTGTGTGTGTGTTCAACTTCATAATTCATGAGTTGAGGTAGGTGCTTACTTTCATGTTTCAACCATTTGATGAGACTATTTACATTCACTAAACCACACGTAATATCATCTTGTTATATCTAATTAGTTTCTGCTTAACTGAGATATTATGAACAAACGAGCAGTTGAAAAAACGAGCAGTTGGAGCAGTTGGACTATGGATATTGGATATATGTATTAGTAATCCTTTATAATTTCTTGAGAACGATCTTTCTAGTTGTTACTTATTTACTAACGGTTGCATTAATTATTCAGTACGTTTGCGATTTGTTTATAATGTAAATATATGTAAAATCGTGCATCTCAATTGTAAATTTCTCCAGTCTCTTCGCAGTACTGATTACTCTTGCTGATAATTTTATTAAAACCGTTCGCAATGTATCCCTTACGATATCTTCGAATAATTTTACCCTTTTTTCTAGTGAATATGTCAGTGTCTGAGATTTTACCCAACGAGACGGATCAGAATTTCCTCTACCAACTAATCTGCAGGTCAGTACTTCTAATTACTTCTAATTTTATTGTGACGAATAACGAGTATTTTGTTGCTTGATGCGTGCTCAATTGTTTTAATCATTTAACGGACGAGACACATCATGAATCATGAAGAAAACAAATCCCTACACCGGACATCAGACGAATCTAACCATACTGGAGTTTGTTTCTAATTTCAGCTGTAAAACTCGTTCCACAGTCCGACCGTGAATCATATATTCTCCATTCATGCTTTGAAGCGTGACTGATGGATTAACGCATGACTTGCTATTGTTGCAAACAGCTCCTCTCGCACCAGAAGGGGCTAACTTTTACAAATTAATACGATTAAATGGCTGGTATATGACACATATCCTATTTTGTTTGCCCCTTTCTCATTTGAATACTATTTAGTTAGTTTGTTTTCTATGTCCTTTATTCCATGGACTCTAACTTTAAAGATTTAATATAGGAAAACTAGCAAGTTTCCCGTTGGTCAGCCCCCGTCACGCTTCTATTTGTTAGGACAACCCCAACTGGTCTAGCTTAGTCACCTGACCACATTCCCTGTCCTGATAGGCTGTGGGTTACTCCGTGGCTTAATCATCTGCCTCTATTGGTCGGGAGATGATTCTCGGATCTAATATAGGAAAACATAATAGGTGTTGTAAGGGTAGCTGAAGGCAGGCTAAATCGTATCAGTGCTGAGTGCGGCGGATAAACAGTACCCCCACCTCCATTGGAGGTGACTAATGGAGGTCGGTCTGTGATTGGCAGTCCACTAATGGACCTTCCCTTATTGGTCAGGTGGAGAATTAGAGCGGTATCCATACACCTGCCACCTTAATGTCATCCTAATTCCCTTATTTTAACTGTAGTACCCGGCCCCAGAGCTAGACGTTACAGGATTGTCACTGTAACCCCGAGACGTAGCGGGGAACACGGAAATCACATCAAGTGCGGTGATGATGATAACCTACTATTTATAACGTTTATACTACAAAACAAATATTACCCGTTTTATTAGGAGATGCACCGGCATAATTTTAACAGTTAATTTTAAGTTAATCAAATCTCGAAACGCTTTGATCTCACGGGCTCAGTTTTAAACAGCAATATTAACTCCATAATATTTGGTGTTATGCTGAATGAGCCTCTGCCCATGCCCCTTCTAATAATGAAGTTTTGATAATTAATGGTCTCCAATAAAATGTGTTGATAATGTATCTAATTTTACCTTGGACATTATTAAAAAGTTTCTCCTCGATTTCCAAATTAGTATTTCTTATGAGATAAAATTCAAAAAGCCATGATCTAACAATTTTCTATCCAAGTTTGAAGACCTCTCTTTAGAGTTAATGTAACTTGTGGTCCCCTGATTGTATAGCCCTTGATTATGTACTATAAAATTTCTACAGATAATGAATATTTTACGCTCCGCTATACCTTCTTGTATGCCTGGTCAGCCTGTATTGAGTAAATGTGCAGCAACCAATCGCAACGCTCTGAGGAGCCCAGCTTAACGTACAGAAAATAAACAATATCAAATCCAAAAATATAATTTTGCACATGATCTAGAATCGAAGTTCGATTTCGCAAGTCTCAATCTGGTATCTGGGTTTAATCACATACTCAGATATAGCCACCTTTATAAATTTTCCGACAAGGTAATACTCCTAAAGTTGTATGTTAACCACGGTGACCAATGTTTGGTCAAACTTTGAAATTTATGAGACAGCTCACAGCTGCACCAATATTATATTCACGTCTCCATTCTCCTTGTCTCTTGTGATCAAGAGCACTGACAAACCGGTATATGTCTCACTCTCAGTAATCAAGTACCCATGACTACTTTACATGTCAAAAATCGCAGTCATTACAGAATCTCTAATATCGGAAGCTAGTTATAAATTTTGAGGTTACCAAAACCGAAAAAAAATGTCGTAATCATAAGACGTTTTAATTTCCCCACCGTCACAGCAGACGGGTAAATACTTGTATCCGTCAGTACTTTTAAACTACTAATTTTAATCGAGACTCTAATTTGATTAGTAGGTGATCACAGTCTTGAACATGGAATTGGCTAGACTATATCATTTTACACATGCTGGCAGGTTGAGGATGTCTCAGGCACACGAGGATGACCATAATCTGATGCGTTCAGCTCAAGATTAAAGTTTTTGTGCGGCTCCTGCCATCAATATCCCAACAAATAACCAAGCGTTACTATCTCTAATTTGTGTATCATCAAATAGCGGTGTCAAAATTTGTGGGGCGATTGTTTCACAATATCTGATACACTCCCACGATAATTCTGATACACTCCCACGATAATTCTGATACACTCCCACGATAATTCTGATACACTCCCACGATAATTGAAACTGTCTCACAATATCTGATTCTCTCCAGTGATAAGTTATGGTGTTTCATCTCATGTATGCTTTTAAGTAGACACCAACAGAGAGACAATTCGTTATCAACTGTCTGTCATCTCCCTACAGCTTATTCAGCGTCGATTAATAAATGATGAGTTAATATCACCGAGCCATCACACAGAGATTTGTGATCAATAAGCAAGACTGGTTCTAGCGAGTATTTCTTTATCACAAAGGGAAATATAAATTAGATTTAACTAACTTTATCTCCTTTCAGTCAATTGGAGAATGATGGTTATATCAAATCAGCTAAGTGTTTGCAGGTAAATTAAATCTTGATACAAACTGTCAATACGTTTTATATCTAACTATTGCACCATGTTTCTAATTACAATAACCACGGTATCTTGATTGACTACAAGCATTAAGGATTTGAATTATGCTTTTATAATGCCTGAGACCTGATCATAGTCAGTATAATAATCGATCAACGATTACAAATTACGTCCAAGAAATGTTACCATTATTACTGTATTTGACTTGGAACATAATATTTCTGTGGTTCTAAAAACATTTTGGCTTCAGGTGGAACTAAACACTCTGGAGCAGGCGGTGCCCGGCGACAAGCTTGAGAAACTTGTAAACATGTGTATCCAGATAAAGAAACACATCGACGTGCACTTCAACAATTCCATGAGTAAGTCCATAATCTTAAATTAGTAGTTTCTTTGTTTGACCCTCATTCCAAGTGGCTTGCTGAATTTGAAACGTTTGAGAAATTTAGGGAACCAAATTAGCAACCCTTTAAAACTTATAAGATCTTTATAAGGAGGCGCAAAATTTCCGTTCAATGATACCAACGATTATGTCGTCAAAATAATATGCAGAACTCTGAATTTATAACTTTTTCTTTAAAACTCCTCTGTAATTCCTAATTAGCCCCACCACGTCTGGCTACATCTTTGTTTAAAAGCATAGCTTAACTTAACTGCGTATGTTTATTGTTTACAAATTTACACACCGTTAACTAACGTCAAAAAGTTTTAAGTTGTCTAAACGAAGTAGGTCATTTGCATCTTTTCTCGGTCACACGGTGCCGGCGTTTCATGTGAAGAGTAAATTTAGTAAGCACCCTTGCTACTTGACTGGTTAAAAATGATCACATGACCACAACAAAGACCTGTGCTTGGTCGATTAAATGCGTGAAAATTCAGCGAAACATTAAGAGTTGGGGTGAGTTGGCGGAGTTTTTGTATTATGTGAAGTATAGCCGATATAGTGAGGAGAATTAGCTGCTGTGGTGTGGAATGAGAGAAAAAGTGACGGAGAAAGCTGGGGAGATTAGAGAGTTGTTTTGTGCAGATCCTTGATCTAGATTCTAGATTCTAGTAGTCATGAGTCTTGACTAGGTTCATCAGTATACTACTCAGTACTACTCGCAACTCTCTTCCAACTAAATTAATCTCTGTGGTCTATAAATAATCACAGTCTACTAGTAAATGCTAACCGTTTCATGATAGATGGTAAGGGCAACACCAGTGTCGGATGTGGAGAGAGCCAAGGTTGATGACCCAGACTAGGGTGACAAATGTCTCATTAAACTTCCTCTCTTCCTCTCTCCACAGTCAATATTGAACCTAAATCGTTTAATTTGGAGCTCTTACTCGAGCAGTAACGTGGCTAACAGTAAGGTTTACGATGAGGTACTAGACAGTATTTGCACTAATTCCATTGACGGCATGCTGCTGACTTGACCTACTGACCTAGACAGCATGGAGCACTTCAGACTGGTCAGACTGTTCAGACTCGGGACCCGCTCATGAAATACTCTGAATTCTTGCATTCCTCTAACACAGTTTCTTCTCAGACAAGAGGAAAGGAGGGGAGATGGATCCGGACTCAACCAATCTGACACATGACACTGATGGTGGGGATACTTTGGCTTCCACACCTTCGTCTGAGTACAGGTAAAGATTCCACCACAGTGAATTTCGTGGAGCGACCTGAACTAACTCAAGATCTGAACTTGAAACACTTCTGTGTATTTCGGTCAGATTATTCTGGCCGTATGTGATGCTCATAATTAACTACATTGAACCGATCATTATGCTTTTGTCTTGTAGTTATAAATATACGCAATCATGAATAATTGACTGAATCGTCTTAAAATAATAACATGATATAAGCTATTTTAAAGGTCCTGAAATCTTATCAATTTTATGTTTCCAAAACCCCCTCCAGCACAATGATTCATTTCAGAATGGTAACAGAAAGTACACCGATGGATCAGGACGATGGAGGAGACCCAGTGATTGAAACCTCAGACGCTACCTCCTCGTCTGAAGTGATCCAGAAACAAACCTCGACAGAAATGGTGAAAACTGAGGAGGAGAATGTGGCGCCAGAGCAACAGATAGATATAGAGGGGTGTAGACAACAGCTCCTTCAGCAGCAGTTGTTGTTGCAGCAGATTCAGTTACAACATCTCCAGAACACGTCTATCGACGAACAGGTCTTAAATTCCGCCAAATTAAACTTTACGTTTTCTGTTTTATCCATGGCCTCATCATGTGTAATGTGTATATCTGACAAATGCAAGCCAACTATAAACACGTACCCGTTTCAACAGATGCGTTGGAATTTTAAACTGGAAATTAGTCTGTATAGCCGTGCACGTCTAGATTTTAATGTGCATTCGTCTACAAACCGCCTCATTCCTCTGAGTAGTTGAACACAGATCTGTGATTTATCCTCAGGAAACTAACTAAAACTGTGTTACAGGCTAAGAAACTAAGTGAGTACATGATGAAGTGCTACAAGTCGGATATTTCGCTGGTAGGAACCGGAAATAAAGCTCAGGAACCCTTGCTCACCTCGTTAAGTCAGAGTATATCCACTTCTCTAGCTAACCATACTCCTATTTATTCTCAGGTAGACAACTTTACCATTATTGATAGTATTTTGTTTTGACAGCGAGCATTGTGGGTTGCGATATTTGATGGGATTGCTTTTAAATTTCTGATATGTTTGGTAATATATTACATCAATTGATGGATATTTAAAACCATAAATTCTCCCAGAGTTCCCCGTCGTCGGTGTCTGGGATGTCTTCAAGTTTCACTTCCCTGAATTCCAAGATTAAAAATGGGATCCCGTCGCCGGTAACACCACGTGATCACACAACCACGCCACCTGTGACAACCCCCGACTGGGAGGATAAACTGAAACCTAAAGTACCTGATCAAGCTGAGATCGATAGGAAAAGGTTGGTAATTTAGATTAAATATAATAGGGGGAATATTATAAGTAATACGTGACTCAGCTGAAGCTGTTACCCAGCTAAATCATGACATACAAAGGCATAAAGTATCCAACTTACCTCGCTAAGGCGAGTGACAGGCCCCCCCTAATTGCCCTTTCCCCTGAAAAATGACTCTGTCTAGTCATGTCGAGCTCCCGCTACCTGAGGGAACCCTCCAATCCCCGAGCAGGTAATCCTCCCAACACGGTTGACGTACTATTAAAAATTACCGACGTTAATTTGACATTTCCATATTATTGTCGCGACACAATCCGAATAAACAAAACCTGGCAGCATATTATTTGATGTTTGCTTGTAAATATTTGAGCCCTCTCTCCCTGCTCAGTGGTAATCATTTACAAATCAGCTCTAGAATAAATCACTACATTCAGGACTAAAGAGCTCCCCCTCTACTTCACCCCTAACTGTAATGAATAATAATGAACCCGGTCGGTGGTCATGAAATAATTTTATCATCTTGGCAAGTTTATAATTGTAAAAGTTATTATGATTATTGTCTCGAGCACAAAATGGCCTAATGAATTAATTACGTTAAACAATAGTTGATGAGGTAATAAGACAAAGTGGCCTAATAAATTAATTACGTTAAACAAAAGTTGATTAATAAATAAGACCCTGGATTTATTATTTTTGCTTTGGAAGAATGCGGTAACTTTTACACCAGCGCTTCGTTAGGAGCTAAATTTGAGTACCGTTACCAATGTTGGATTGCATGATTTCCAGATGATTAGAGAAAAGAATGTAGGAATGTTCTGCTAACCCTGCAACAAGCGTGTATCTAGGAGGGGATAGGCGGGGGTCAGGGTAGCAGCGTGATTTTACACCTGGGCTGTTGTTGCCCGTGGGTATTTCAAAATATGCAGCGATTTTTCCAGATTTTATTTGGCTAAAGTTAATTTTGAGAGTGATGTTACGTGAACTTCAAATGGGTCTTGTGAACCGGTCATTTTCACATTTTATGGTAAATGATTTGGTCATTCGACGGTTAATCAAGAGGCTTAATAACAATACAAGTTTTAAAGTGATGAATTTGTGGACGGGAAATCACCGAACCGTTATGAGTTATAAAAATTACGCAAATCTAATTCTATTACTATTAAATTAATACCTTAATCTGGTAATCTGTGCCCGTGCAAATAATCCACTCATTTATAAATTTTATTATAAGTTAATCAAATTGATAACATTGAGATTTTGAGAACTAAAATCATTTCTTAAAACATGGAAAAAATTACTTCCAAGTTCATAAGATAATTAGAGGTGAAAACTTTACTCAAGGTTTTGATTTCGGTCGCTAATACGAGCTTTACGTACTGTGATGACAACACCAACCGCACGGAAGTTATTACTTATTTTAACCAATCTTAATTTCCTTGCCTCCCCGGGTACAAATAATTACTGTCCCGGTTAATTTGGACAACAAAGAAAAAAGTTCAGGTACTCCTTCAACCACAAAATTAGTAAGAAATGTCATCATCATTATGAAAATTTCTGAATTTATAGACTCATATTATCTACCTCCGGGATAAAGCTATCTAGGGTTATCAGTTAAACTGCGGCTACATAATTTCTTTCTGCGACGAAATATACGTTTTAAAAAAGAATCCCACTAGTTTAAACCATGTCGATTTTTACAGTTCTTATATTATTATTGTGTCGGGTTTAGGTTATTTTGGGTAAAGATCAATGTTAAAGGAATGTTAAAATGATGATGGAATGTTAAACTAAATTTTGGTTGTTGTGCCTTGCACCCAGGCAGCAAGGACATGATATTCCGGACTACGGAATTTCGGGGGGGCTCATTTTCACTTTATGATTAAACATTCTCTTCTTACTAATAATTACCATATTAGCATATTATTATTTGTAATCTATTATCTTGCAGATTTCCCTGTCGGTATTGTGGGCGGAGGTTTACCCAGCAGAGTGCTCTGCAGGTCCACGAGCGCACCCACACCGGTAAAACACCATTAGTGGATCACGTTTTTTGAAATATTTTCATCAATTTATACAATAAAAGTGTGCATGTCATCGGTCTTATTGAAGTAAAAAGAGCGTCTGTCTCTAACAATAGTGTCTATATTCTGTGCCTGGCTTGCGGTATCAGCAGATCTTTCACCTATTAGACAAGCACTGGGCATTGTGGAACATATTCAAGGTATGCTCGGGGTGCTTGCTGGATAACAAAAGAAAGCACTAAAACTATATGTCTTATTTTCCACCGCTGATATTGTTTGTTAGTTACGTGAGGGTTGCTCGTACCGTACAAGCCAAACAGTAGCCGCACGTGTTGCAAGAATATTGCCGTTTTGTTACTCAACCAGAGAGTGACTTCCGTCACCCGATTTTAAACGTGACCTTGCTTTTTCACTCCAGGAGAAAAGCCCTACCATTGTCACTACTGCGACAAAGCTTTTACTCAGATCTCTAATCTGAAGTGCCACGAACGCCTACATACCGGAGAGAAACCCTACCGATGTCAATTGGTTAGTTTGGAACCTTATCATTCACAAACATTATATTGGTTATTGTCACCAAGATTTTTGAAAAAAAACAATGACTGTTATCTGAACAAAATTTGAGGATGCTGAAATTGAAATGACGACAAGACGAAACCAAAATGGTTCAGTTTCTGTTTTGTTCTGTTAAATTTGGTTTAAACCCTGTTAGTGACTTCATAACACTACTAATTCCTGAAATATCTGGTGTAATTAATTGCACTTCCTAAATTTTGCAACAGAATAGTCAAACACGTTTAGGTGTTTAGATAAATATGTAGTACGTTTTTTTGGAATAATTAGTTCACGAAATTTAAAATTTAGCAGCGTTCTAAACCAAATCACCCTCAAATAAGATATTTTCGTTTATGATCTGCTATGTAACTGAGTTTAAAACATTGAACATTGAAAGGAACACATTTTTCTTGATTCCGTTTTCCTTAATTATTTTTATTGGCCCTAAATCAAAGCCATAAAATTGATACTCATACACTGATTTAAGTTCGAACTGTCGGACAAATGATGAAAACTAAATTTAACCGTGAGTAGGCTGAACTATTTTGGGTCAGTGGCGCCTAACATTAACCAAATAAAATTAACCAAATAAAAACCAACATTATTGACCAAATATTCGACTTCCTCAGTGTGGAAAGAGATTTACCCAAAGTGCGAGTCTACGATGCCACATGAGATCCCATACTGGGGAGCGACCCTACGTTTGCAAGTATTGTAACAAGAGATTTACCCAGCCAGCATCTCTCCAGCATCACATCCGCATCCACACTGGTAAGATATGACGTATCTTTGACAGATACCACAAAATATCATGATTATAATTTGGAGCGTTGAGAAGTGAGATAATTTGAAGGGAAAATCAGTGACCTAGGTTTATTTGCTCCAACCTGTGAAGCGTGGAGTAGGAACCCTCTTAAAAGAATTACTGGATTATTGTGCATAATTTTCAATTAATCATTTAGGAGAGAAGCCGTATAAGTGTGAACATTGTGGAAAGTGTTTTACCCAGCCGTCCTCGTTGGTGGTGCATCGCCGCCTCCACACTGGCGAGCGTCCCTTCGTCTGTCAGATCTGTGGTAAGAGCTACACTCAGGCCATGCCTCTGAAGGAGCACATGAGGACTCATCATGTCCAGGAAAAATCCCCGCTGTCCTTCAACATCGGACAACCCTTCTCTCTTCAGATGAGCCAACTCCAAGTAAGTTATCTTCTACTCATCCGCAAACAATAATAATTATTTTGAATACTCGAAATTAAATCGGAAAAATTGATGTTACAATATGAAAACAGTGCTCAAACGAAATGATTATATATGTTTTCCTTTCAGAGCACACTGTCAGCTAACATTGGACCCCTCCCATTCATCCTGTCTAACAAGTTCATTCCGGACCTGAGTACTACCTCTACTGTTCAGGATACACCCTGCACAAGTGTGGTTAGTATTTAAGTTACTTAGTTAGCTTAGTAACCTTAGTTAGCTTAGTAACCTCAGTTAGCTTATTTAGCTTAGTTAGCTTAGTTAGCTTATTTAGCTTAGTAACCTTAGTTAGCTTGGTAACCTTAGTTAGCTTAGTTAGCTTAGTAACCTTAGTTAGCTTAGTTAGCTTAGTAACCTTAGTTAGCTTAGTTAGCTTATTCAGCTTAGTAACCTTAGTTAGCTTGGTAACCTTAGTTAGCTTAGTTAGCTTAGTAACCTTAGTTAGCTTAGTAGCCTTAGTTAGCTTAGTTAGCTTAGTAACCTTATTTAGCTTAGTAACCTTAGTTAGCTTAGTAACCTTAGTTACCTTGGTAACCTTAGTAAGCTTAGTTAGCTTAGTAACCTTAGTTAGCTTAGTTAGCTTAGTAACCTTAGTTAGCTTAGTTAGCTTAGTTAGCTTTTGTTTTAGATGGAGAGGTTGAATCAGATAAATATTTTAGGATAAAAGAAAGCTCCGCTCTTAAGAAATGAACAATTTGTCCTATCAGTCAGGCGAAATTTAACGTGTTTGGTGTTTACAGTGGTGATTTAGATATTTACATTACACCTTCTTGTCACTATTTAGGAAGGGTAAATAATATTTACCCTCCCCTAGTTTTATGTCTGTCTACTAACTGGTTGATGACGGATAGAGGCTATGAATTATGTCGCTATTATGTCTACAGTCTGCCATCACACTCTAAAATAGAAATATTTAATATTTATCTTAATCTGTCACATCTCCTGCTAGCTGACTCGGTCAGAGAGGAAGTAAACATTGAATAAATTTAAACTTGATATATTGAAGCGTTTTACGTTTATTTAAATGTTGTCAAGGAAGAGCTCGTTACCACAGCTTTATAATTTAGGCTGAAGTCCAGAACATAAAAACAAATTCCGGTTATTAAATCACGTCCTATTCTTTACAATCCAGAGAAATCCCTCCCCTAATTTGTAACTTTCATTAATATCCATGAATATTTACAAAGGTGACGAATTTGCCTTAAAATTTTCATTGTTTTCAACATTTATGTCTGAAATAATAAGCGTTATTCATGTGCATATACTTTTAAAGAATGGGATTTGAACGATAAAACTGGTCGTAAGTGAATAATCTGTTCCAAAACGTGGGATTTTCTGAATAATTTATTCAGATTTTCCAGACTATTGGCAATCGAATTTGTCATTTTTAAACCCCTGTACCATTTCAGTCACAGATTTTGTTCAATCGACAAAACACGGCGTTCCAAAGCGTGTTTCCTAACCTGTACAAAGATAACAACACTACTACTGAGAAACCGGCGGAGTGACACTGAAGTACCCCGGAAGTGGCGGAGATTCGGAAATGCAAGGAATTTAAAACTATTTTTGTTATTAAGTGATTAATTCTGTTGAATGAAGTAACAATAAAGTTACTATTTTGACGTTGAAAATTCAAAATGGAGAGGTGACGAGGTTAGACTGATTTGTTAAGATTGCGTAAGTGGATGAAAGAGAATTTCTCCGGTAGCGTTAAATGACTACTTATGCTTGAAGAACAATGTCCATTCATAACACGAAAAACTTTGCCATTTCTCTGTATTGGTTACTCAGGAGAGATTGTTGGTTACTCAGGAGAGATTGTTGTTAATAAATGCGAATCAATTTGAAGTTATCTATCGCGTTTTCTTTCCGGTATTTTGATGCCGTATAATTATCACACTTCATGGTATCGACCGACTGAGTTTCAGTTTTAACAAGTACGTGAAAAGATTATTTTTGAATATTCCAGCGATACCATGATGTGATTGGTGCTCTGTGAAGAGCGTAGAGTGTGTTACTAATTTTGTAAAATCAATGCTGTTTGATGCAAGTTAAACCCGTGATACGTACGATTACAAGAAACCTTCACAATATTATGAATGTGATGTTATCTTTTAAATTGAATGATAACGTCACACCAGTGTTTGAAATGTGTTTATCAAGGGAATATGCTTTAAATGAGTTTTATGTTTACTAATGTCATGTTTTACCACAATTATCCAACCCCGACCAAGTTGTATTGGTTGAAGGAAAATAAAGTTAGTAAATTTGTAATCTCGCCATTTATTTTAACCTAGATAATCGGTTCTAGAAATTTGGTTACTTGTTGCTTCACTTAAGGTCATAAACAGTTGAAACCGTAAATATACTTTATCTTGTTTTGAAAGGTTTGAATCAATCCCTCGCAGTTTAACCAGGGGTTATAATAAATAACCACTTGTTATAATTAAGTTGTATTATTGTGAAGTCTCTTATTGGTTCCTCTCATAACGTATTGGGATTGCTCATTGGCTTTGTGAAATATTATGCATTATTTTAAAACTTTGGTATGATTTAATGATTAGTTAAATAGCTAACATTATTTGAATGAGTTATGTAATCCTTTGAAACCAAAGGAAGTTGAAGTTTGATCACACGATTCTATGAATTTACTAAGCTCACAGTATTCCGCCATTATTAAACGGATTGTTTTATCTTACTCGCGCTATCCTGGGCACCAAATTTCAGCTCACACTAACAATATGTTCGAATGATTTAAGATATGAGGGCTGTAATGATACTCATTTACTCGCTTTGAGGAAGTGATACATTTTGCCCTCTGGTGATTAGGTAAAGGGTAAAACATTTTACGAGACTGACTTCCTCCTTTATATGTGACCTGAAAATTGGTTTCCAGTGTATGGCACTATTTAAGTATGGTTTCAATTATTGTAATATCTTATCATGATTGTGTTTGATGAAGCGCTAGTTTTATTTTTCTTGACGAAGAAAACGTCGATAATTCTCAAAATTGATCGATATGAGATCGGAGGAGACCTGTGACTGTTAGTTAAGCAATATACAGTAAAACCCCGAATTACCGCACCCGATTTACCGGGGCCATTTCCTTCCCCCAGATAGGGCTTAACATGTACAATGTAAACTAACAAAACCACGATTCACCGCAAACCCCGATTTACCGCGGCTGTTTCATTTCCCCCAAACTCTGCGGTAGATCGGGGTTGTACTGTACTGAAATTTTAATGAATAGTTTTTAACCCTAAAATGTTAAACTGTCACAAAATTGGTAAAACTGTGTATTGGGTGGAAGCATCGTGGTTGAAGGAACCCAGTCCCCATGATTTCACCACCAAACCTCGCTGCAAACTAAGCAATCTTCATTTTTGGAAACTTCGAACGATATTTTATAAAAGCAACTTTGACAACGTTAGCATTATAACGCGCGCGTTTAACCGCATGGTGCGCGTTTTCTCATTTTAATCGTGGTTGAAATTCGAGCATGCAGCACCTCGAATGTGTAAAAAACATATTGAACCAACAAGAAGATAGTTAAAATCTATGCTAAAAAGCTGTCCACTCCAATTAAAGATAACTGGCATTGAGTACAGCCTCAAAAATGTGATCGATTGTTTCAGAGTTGTATAATTAAATTTTCTTCAGCATACTCACTTGGTTTTCGATTCCCAGTTTTCTTGTTTGTTGTTACAGCTTAAACACTCACAAACAACAACATCGAAAAAATATGTCTTATTCTTCACGTTCCTAACTGATTTTTAGCTTGAAAAACATCTTTATTAGATCCTTCAATAAATAAATTCTTGATTAGCTTAAGTCCATCACGAATGTTCCTAATTGTTATATATGGATATAATCAAAAGATTGTGACTGATTTTCGGGATCGATGAGAGCAACTAATAAGTTGGAACGTCGCCCACCTACTTAAAATAATCTTATTGCCCCTATAAAAGATAATTAATTTGTAATGATTATGCAAAATGGTCCTCAATTAACTTGTTTTTATCATTATCTTTTGTTTGTGATTTCTCTGATCCGCCTTGCATTAAAACAATTAGAATTAATCTATAATAATCTGAATATGCAGAAGTCGCAGACTTTGTCAAAAATGCGTTTGACTTTAATTTGTTCACGGAAGGTGTTAATAGTTTCAATTACAAGTTCATGGCAAGATTTTATAGTTTTAATCACTACTAAATATGACCGGGATGGTTCTTTTGTGTTATTTTGTTACTCTAATTCGAATTTCATGCCAAGATTTTATAGTTTTAATTGCTTCTAAATGCGGGCGAGACAAGACAGTGATCCATAAGGTTGGGGTGAAGTATCAGAATTCAGTTGACGCCTGATTCTGCTTGTAAATAGACATCACTATTTTCACGTTCCCAAAAAAACGACTCCGTATTAAATGAACATGATCTCGGAGAATTACTGTGATTATACCTGGATACAGTTACTACAGATAATGAAGTTTGCACTTTGTAATCTTTAGTTTGGCTTATTTTACCTCACTTTATAATTATATAGAAAATATAAAAAGTTGCGGTTTTTTAAACAGAAACAATCAACAATCCTTAGCTTAATGAAGGCTTCTGCCTTTTCACTTTGTCGGCCCGTGAACATCATAATTATCGTTTCCATAATAGTTTCTCAGAAAACATATTTTCTTTTAATACCCGGAAACTTTTATTCAATTCATTTTAAAACTTTCAAATTTTGCAAACCTCAAAATTAGACAGTATGGAATAAATTAAACGGGCTAAAATGTATCACCTTCATTAGAAACAAGTTAATAAAAGGCGACTTATTACTGAATGAGATTAAATTAAATTCAAAATTGCTACTATTTTCATGTGGTAAATTATGTGTAAGTTAAAGTTAGCTTGTCTCACCTACGGCGGTTCAGGAGCACATAAGGAGGAGCACATATTATTATGGCATAAGCAGAGTGATATCGTTAAAATGGTGTAAAGATTCTATGATCAGAAAAATAGCAGCTGTACGTGGAGATTGGATAATAGGCCCAATTGCCCAAACGACATTAAGATTCAGAACTATTTAAGAACCCTCGACACTACATTTTTATTTCAAAATTCAAATAATTTTACATCAATGTATTACGGTTACATTTACGAAAAACCAAAATATCTACTAGAACTATATCTACTAGTACTATGCGGCAAAAAACATGGAATATGAGAGTTAGAAAAGTTATCGTGATACTCAACACTACCAGACTGCAGCTTGAGTGAGAAAAATTATGTAAAACATCACTGTAAAATCTATTTCGGCTTAAACTCCTTGGTCCCATCACGAATACATTTTAACGCTCACTTGCCAACCATTTTGAAACCTCCTGTGGGGTAAAACTATGGAACTTTTTTCTTTGGGGCCATCCACTTAGGACGTCTGCCAAAATTGCAGATTTTCAGACGCAATCATGGACAAACCTACCTTAAGCAATTATATTTTATCATGGTTCCTACCACAACACAATTAGACAATAGGAGACCGCAGTTTACTATTTACCGCGCACAGGACCCTTCGCAATATAAGGGGTTATGGGATGCCTCACGCCCCATCATATTTGATAAAATGATTGGAACATTTCAGGACATTAAGTCAGGTACTAAAATATGGGCGGTTAAATGAGGGGGCAAACAATTAAAACACGGACAGCTAGTAAGAACGGTGACTTTTTCTTCTAAACATACATCTATCATACACTTTTTACAAGTTTTACATTTTAACATGGTTTCACCAGCCACGGAAAAAAATAAAGTGGTAAATTATTATTGAAAAGTTACAGCTGTGATTCAGAGTAAAGATGAACCACTATTATTAACTCACAACACAGTTGGAAAATTATAAATTTGTAGATTGGTCATAGGAGATCCGAACAATCACCGCACTGGCTGTTTGGCACCAATGTTTCCACTCGGGTTTCAGCAGCAGTTATGAAATTGCAAATTGCTACCAATGCAATGGAACCGGTTCCATAGAGCGATTGGCGTTAAGCAGTTGCGATGCCATTTGTGCCGCCCTTATGAAAACCTGATGGCGGTATCGGAAATTTATCAGAATTCTTCCGACCCATCGACAGGAAATTCTTCCAAATTTCCTCGAAAAAAAAATGTCCTCGAAATTTTGACTCCTAGTGTGTATTCATTATATAATAGACAATATAATAAAGTCTTTACATCAAGATATACTTCTTCGTTGAATATAAAAGCTAAAATTACAAGTTCTAGTCCAACACGCAGTGAATTGTAGATCAAGTTTAGACATTGTGGGACACCAGCAGTAGTTTCTGACGTTTGGTCATGCACCTTTCCTCCAGTTCAAGAGAGTTTGACTTGATGGACCAATCCTCGTCCAGACGGTTGAGAGTTTGCTTCAACTGAGTGTGAGCATCCCTGAGAGAGAGAGGGGACGTTAAGATCTTTTAATTTGGTGAATGTTAGCTCGTATCATGGAGTAAATATACAAACAAGAGTCAATAAAGAAGAAATATTGCTCAGAAAGAATCGGAAAGTAACAAAGTTCGCTGTAAGACAATAACATACTCAGCAATGTTGTGTTGATCAATAAGAGTGGAGACAGTGTTGAGCAGATCGTTTCTTTCAGCTATGATACCATCATGAGGTTCGTCCCTGCACAGCTCAACCCTCGGCCTGTACGTTCGGTTCTCAGATCGGGTCTCTGCAACCTGTCAGAACATGATTATTAGACGGATCCAATCGAGTAATTAATCGTAATGGTACTAGTGTTTAAGTATAAGGTGTTGCAGCAGATTATAACGCCTGTCTTTATGGAAACGGGTAAACGGGCAAAATCACTGACGTAGCGAATCCGTACCAACTAATCACCACTAGTATGGATATATTCCGCTAAAACTGTTATTTTATATAAGGAAGGTTGCCCATTATACTGACGAAGTTTTATTTTATTATAGCAAAATTCTGTTCTTTATGCCTACAACACCGACCCCGAACCTACAAATGTATAAGTGATGGAATGCCACAATTTATCATTACAAGATACGTGTTTTTTCAAACATTTATGGAGGTTCCACTACAGGACCTATATTGGTTAAACTATCTCATAAATTGAGAATTCTCATCGCTATTAGAGCAATATTTCGTGACGTTAAATGCCATTGAAGCAGGACATAGAAAAGCCCCGATTTACTGTACAGTTTTGGAAAGGAAATTATCACGGAAATTGGGGTTTTGACTTTTTGGTAACCGTCGGATCACATATTTAGGAACATCTAATGTCTTTTCTCGCGGCTCTTCCTCCTTTCTCGCCCGCTCCTCGAAGACCTTCTGCACCAGGTCGATAATTTAATTTTAAAATTTCAAGAGTTATTGTTATCTGATTCTTGATCGCTTAAGTGTTATAATTTGGAGTTCATGGAATGTGTCAATAGTTTTACTTTGAAGTTCGAGGAAAGGTTTTATAGTTTTAATTTTCCCTAAATATAGCCGAGTTGTGTCCTTAATTTCATTGGTAATCGATTGTTTGACGTTTAAGTGTTTTAATTTGGAGTTCATGGAAAGGTTTTATAGTTTTAATGACTTCTAAATTGCGGGCAAGACAAGACAATGATCCGTTCCGTTTAGAATAAGTATCAATATATTTATAAATATAGTAAGTTTTTTATAAAAATGATCTGTATGAATAAATTTGCCACAAGCGTTTCTCTACAGCTCAGGAATGTGTTCTACATAGTACCAGGAACCACCCAAAAGATTTTTAAACTCCGTAGGCGGTGCAAAATGACCGCAATGGCTACATCATGCCAGGCGAATGAGGTTTTTAAAAATGAGGCCATCACAAATCGAGATATTTTAATTTTCTGGAAAAAAATTTAAAGCAATGGTATTTTTATTCAATTTTTCTAACTTTTGACCGGAAGATATTAAATACTGCATTCAGTATGCAAAGGGGTCAAAATTGTTCACCCATACTACATTACTTCATATAGTATGCAAAATATTCGCAATGGCTATTATCATATAATACATATAATTAATTATGGACGTTGCGAACATTTTTCTCCTATTAACAACAACAACAACAACAATGGCGAACCTAGCAAGCTAGGAACGAGGGGTGCGGCCACGGTCCTTTCGGTACAGATTTCCCTGCAGTATAGTCGGGACGCAACCTCCTAGATTAAGAAGTCTATATACGTATAGCTTTCTAGCCCAATATATAAATATTTTATATACTGGGAAACCAAGCAACAACTAATCATTATCTCACATGTATGTACATATTTTCGGTAATCGTACTGTAGTGCGACACGTACTCTAGTGCGACACGTACTCTGGTGCGAAGTCCGACAAAAACACCCTCTGTCGCACTAGGGTACGTGTCGCACTACGATCCAGGTAGCGTACTCTACTGCGACAAAATATCCTGACTTATTTCCAAGTTCAGGTCACATCCTATCCTTCTTATGGACCATTAAGTGATTCGTCGGGTCGGTTCACGTCACTTATTTCGAAGTGATCTTGAGAATACGATTCGTCGGTTCACATCACGTGTTTCGAAGTGATTCACTGATCACAATTCCTTCGGGTCAGTTCAAGCCACGTTATATCCAGGTAACGTACTCAACTGCGACAGTGTCGATCTTGGAGGTTTCGCACTAGGGTACATGTCGCACTACAGTACGTGTCGCACTACAGTACGTGAACCGGCACGCACAGCTCGGACGAAGGCCATGAGGCATCCTGTTGCTCCACGCTCTTTGGCTGACCTTGTCCTAACTCCTGACTACATCAGACTTGTTCACGCAGCTGGTGACTATCCACTGACTCTATCCTGACAGCTGGAGAAGGAAGATGCAGCAACATGATCTAGTGAATGTGTAAAGTGCTTTGTCGCACTTTAGTTCGTGTCGCACTACAGTCCAGGTAGCGCACTGTAGTGCGATAGTGTCGGCCTTGAAAATTCTCTGTCGCACTAGGGTACGTGTCGCACTACGATCCAGGTAACGTACTCAACTGCGACAGTGTCGATCTTGGAGGTTTCGCACTAGGGTACATGTCGCACTACAGTACGTGTCGCACTACAGTACGTGAACCCATATTTTCGCTAAATTTCAAAGAAAAATAACAGTTTTTCGCCAATAATTTTAAATTTAAGTGTTTTAGCTTTTAGATCATATGTTGCTTAATGCTTTATAAGTTGTAAATAAATGTGCTAGTTGCAGCTTTTTTATACCTATTCAGAAGTATTTAATAACTTCCGATCTAAAGTTAGGAAAATTGAGCAAAAGTACGAGCGATTTTTTTCTGCAATAAAATGCCATAATGTGACCATTGCGGTAGTCACGTTAACTTTCCCTAACTATATAATAGACTAACACTGATTATTTAGCAGACGCGTGCTTTACTTGTAACTATAATATTTTAATTTTTTCATATTACAATCAAATAACTATTCCCCATTGATTTAGTATGGTTTTTTAGAGTTACTTTGATTATACCTGGATACAGTTACTAAAGATAAATAAGTTTGCACTTTTTAATCTTAGTTTGTTTTATCTCACTTTATATACAGAGTACAGGAAGTAGCGGTACATTTCTACTATTTATACAGAATAAAAGCAGGAAACAGATTATAAGCAGTTTTAGACGTATATTATCCATGTGAAGTTGCAGTTTAAGGAAGTCTGATTTAAGGAATTAAATGAGGATGCTTCAAACAATTAACAATTGTAGTGATAAGAGATATGGATTGGACTTAGATTCCGAGATAGCTCTGTAAAATATCGTTTCCATCTTTTTCAATATTGATGCAATAAAAAAACGATGCTTTGAGATAAGTTGGGGGGGGGGGAGTTTCTGAATGGCTTCGGTTATGACTTATGTAATCGTGAACTTGCGCCAATGTTTCAGAAAATGATTTTTAAATCAAGCCATCTTAACGGTTACAGTCTTGAGTCTCATTGTGCAGTCAGGTTTCTAGACAGCATGCTAACAACCAATGAAGCAATAAAATTGAGCCAAGCACGTTAGTACAAGGGGCACAAGGTTCTGTTACATATAACATATACTTAGGGTGGCCCATAAGTGACTGCCCACACGCAACCTCTTAATAACTCACGTAATTCGTCTCCAAATTGCACCAAAATTTCAGAGATTATAGATATGGGTCAAACTTAGATTTCCTGAAAGTTTCGTAAGCCACGCCCAATTACAGTGGGCGTGCCCAATTACAGTGGGCGTGGCGTGACACTCCCTCTTTTTCACTATTGTCTTCATAAAATGAGAACGCTTTAAGCTAAGAACTCAAAATTTTTTGCACACTTTTGGCTTGATAATTGAAAACTTTTCCAAAAGTTTCAAGTTCATTGGTTAAAATATGGCTGAGTTATGACCATTTTAAAATCCATCGGATATGTGATCCGAGCACTCAGTCAGTGATATTTGCACTCAATTAGTGATCTCGTCACCCAATCTGATCAAGAGTAATGCGTTAGCGTGTATTAATGAGGTTCATTAGGCTTTGATTGGATACCCGGTGATTCGGTAGGCCCGGTTAGAAAGGTCTTGCTTTAGGATTCGCTGAAGGGTTGTTCTGCTGATGTCTAAGGCAGGAGCTCGTTTCCGGGTGCCAATCTTAGGTGTGTCCATCACGTCACCAACAACCATCGTGATGTTTTCCACAGTCCTCGCAGTTCGTCTTCTGCCGACTCTTCGCCGATCGTGTGCAGAAAAGGGTAGAGGGTAGAACTCCCCATTTTCTTTCTTCAGGTAGACGAACAATCGTTGTTCTGCAGTAAAGGGAGGATAGTGAACCATTTTCGATGATTCAATGGATGGTTCATTCCTTTTTATTGATTGTAAGGAACCTGTGACTAGCAGGGCTAACAAGCCCTGAAATGGTGACACCACCATAAATTCGTGTGATAGCGTTTTAGGTGCTGTCAGCTGTATAGGCCGGCCCATAAGCAGGCTGCAACCAATCAAGCGGTGCATGTGAGCCAAACAGGCCATTAACCAAGTGACGAGATCACTGACTGAGTGCTCGGATCACGTATCCGATGAGTTTTGAAATGGTCATAACTTTGTCATAATTTTATGAAGACAATAGTGAAAAAGAGGGAGTGTCACGCCACGCCCACTGTAATTGGGCGTGGCTTACGAAACTTTCAGGAAATCTAAGTTTGACCCATATCTATAATCTCTGAAATTTTGGTGCAATTTGGAGACGAATTACGTGAGTTATTAAGAGGTTGCGTGTGGGTAGTCACTTATGGGCCACCCTGTATATATTAACATATGTTGTGAACCATATATAATCAGTAATATGAAGCGCGCCATGAAAAGCTTCACGCGCGGCGCGCCATCTGCTGTCATGGTGAATGAAAAACTTGATTGTTTTTACGCAAAATATATTTAGCGCGCTTCATAACTCGCTTTGCTTGACTAGGCACCTAGAACTTTCGTTTAAACTGTTCCAAATTGCAAGTCGAAATTAGGAAGTTCTCAGTAATAACATTGAATAATTTTCGATTTAATCTCTAGATCTGACTATAGGACTTTACCGAAGCTTTCCAGATAGTAAGATGGGTAATTGGTATATGAGTGACATACTGTACAAGTTTGGATAAAATTCTATGCGCTTAATTTAAGATATCACTTTAACACAAGAAAATATCTTAAAATCAGTGTGTTTTACGGAAGGCGATCCATTTTCTTAGAATCTGGATAGTCTATCCTCCTTATCCTTGTCCTTCGATTCTTGTATTTTCGTCACTGTCCTTTTCCCTGTCTGTCCGAATAATACGGACACGGACAAGAGGGACACGGAAAAGAGGGACACGGAAAAGACGGACACGGACAGAGACAAGACAGATAGGGCCAGGGTATTATTTGAACATATCTTTATGTGTTTGTAGCAAACTCCGTGATTCCAGTCATTCACCATGAAACCATCCAAAATATCTTCCGCGTGAGGTTCACGGTTCACCATTTCCCATTCAAACCCCTATATCATGAGCAATTATAACAATATCAGCCACATTGATAGGATTTACTCAAGATATTTTGGGGAAACGATACTGATGAGAAGGGACTCAATGAGAAACTGGACGCCCTAAAAACAATAACTAACAGACCCGACTTATTTGAGTACAGCGAACTATCATTTTACAGTTGGGCACCAGTATGTGTACATGAGTTATATCACTGTATATGACTACAGTGAGTCATTGCGTGTGTACAAAGTGGTGTATATTTCTTGCATTGTGACCGTACTGGTCAGTCTCAGTATTTCTTGCATCAAAATTGTACACGTCCTCACCAAATCCAGAAGAGCAGTCAACCAAGCTGAGGCAGACAACGATGTCGAAGGGGCAATTAAAATTAAAGTTGGTCTTATCATCGGGACCAAACTGATATCCTAACTAGAACCATTATTATGGTGATGATTTACTACAACATCACTAAAAAGTATGTTCCTGATGGTTGGTCCCAGGCGACAGCATTATGCATCATCCCCACTAACAGCCTGATGAACCCTATCTTTAACTCCAATATAGTGCAATCACTGACTAGTTATGTAAATAAATCTACAGCTACAGTCTTAAAATTATTTAAGAAATCAGGAACCCCAGACCTAGAATATCGAAGTTCGAACATTTAATTAATATTCAGTTAATCATAATTAACAGAATTTTAAGAATATTAGCACTAGTGTTACTCGGCCTCCGGAATTCCACTGTCGCAGTAAAACTGGTGCAATAGTATAAACCCGCTCAGTTGAACCCGTACTAAGTGAGCAATTAATTTATTCTGAGTGCCCTCAGTCTCAAGTATCCAATAAAATATTAAAAATAATCTGACAGGAACTTTCTCCATCACCGATCAAATGGATTTAAATAGCTCCTAAATCATGAACTCTCCGCCTAGAGGTGAGTACACTATTCTATACAGTACATCGTACGGAGTGTTTTGCAGTGCAATATAATGATAGTCCAATTAATCTCTAATATTGTGCATAATAGCAAAAATTTGCTTTTTACCCCACCGCCCTATAATTTTTGGTATATTCAATCTACTTCTACATCTGTCCACTTCACTAAGATAATTTTGATACGCACATATAAGTTATAATAAAACAATGCGATGTCTGAGTTTTCATAAAAAGTTAAGTCATTACTATATGCACTATGTTGCAGCTCAATTGCTTTGATGTGATAGTCACTGGAGCACATTGCTTTGTGCAATGCAGCACAAATGTAACATGCTTCACAAGCATTCATTTTATAAACTTGGAAATATTTTTATTGTCAATTCAATGCTCATTATGTGCAGTTATAGCATCGAAATAATTTGGCAGATATTTATTGCAAGGATCTCTACACTGAAGTAAACTTGCCCTAATATTGGCAACATTTTAGTCGTTCTAAGCTTCTGAGCACATTGGTTTGCGATCCGATTATGTGATCAACTTTAGGTAAGACTTTGATATAAATTCAAAGTTTTAATCTTGGAGTCAACGTTCTCCACACTCAGACAAAAATAGATTTTTGCGGTCTGTGGTTTCAAATAGCTGATAGTAACAAATTTTGCAAGAACTATCAGAAGAAAAGTAAGCAGTGATTTGTAGAATCGTTCGTGGCGTGCTAAACATTTTAAGATAAACAATAGTTTTAAACTTGTAAGCTCAATTGACCAGTGGACTACAGCACGTATTTACAAGGCGTTAAGTAATACATAAAACTTGGAGTTCAACATGTAACAGTCTGGATCGTCAATTCAGTCTTAAGAATGAATAATCGATACACCAATCTACAAAAATATCTCCATCGATTTTTTAACCGGTTGCATCACGTTTTCCATGCGTGGAGATGGACTTTTTACCGAAACCACTCAATACAATATTTAGTGGTTACAATGAATACCAGTGCACTTAAGATCGGTAACCACTGCAGTGGTTACCGATCTTAAGTAAGGCTTTAACAATAAAGCTTGTCATTAAGCTTGCACAAACTTATGTAAGTTATTAGCTGGTTTTTTACAAACGGCTCAAATTATTGTTATCAACAGGGCTTTGTATCTAGGAACATTTCGCAAAAATATGGTAAAAGCGAGGAGACATCATACAGAAGAACCTCCATAATATAGCGTGCCTCTCTATAACGATTACCTCCATAATATAGCGTGCCTCTCTATAATATAGCGTGCCTCTCCATAATATAGCGTGCCTCTCTATAACGATTACCTCCATAATATAGCGTGCCTCTCTATAATATAGCGTGCCTCTCCATAATATAGCGTGCCTCTCTATAATATAGCGTGCCTCTCCATAATATAGCGTGCCTCTCCATAATATAGCGTGCCTCTCTATAATATAGCGTGCCTCTCTATAATATAGCGTGCCTCTCTATAATATAGCGTGCCTCTCTATAATATAGCGTGCCTCTCTATAATATAGCGTGCCTCTCTATAATATAGCGTGCCTCTCCATAATATAGCGTGCCTCTCCATAATATAGCGTGCCTCTCCATAATATAGCGTGCCTCTCCATAATATAGCGTGCCTCTCCATAATATAGCGTGCCTCTCCATAATATAGCGTGCCTCTCCATAATATAGCGTGCCTCTCTTAGAAAACGATTACCTCCATAATATAGCGTGCCTCTCTATAATATAGCGTGCCTCTCTTAGATAACGATTACCTCCATAATATAGCGTGCCTCTCTATACCGATTACCGCGGGTATCTCGATAAACCGATTTTTAATTAAACCGTGCACTTTTCGTTCCCCCCGAGGAGCCCGGTATAGAGAGGTCTTACTGTAATACTATACTAAATACTTGTCGTGTCTGAAATTCCAGACATCTTGTTGAATATTAATTTGAACAAGTGAATAGTGCAGGTGCAGTGAACAGCAGGAGTTCACATTTGTCACAGTCTCCCACCAACAACGGCACGTGACTACTCAAGTTACTAGTTAGGTATTGTTCAGTTAGGCACTAATTAATTACATTACGCTGATTGACCACAACTGCTGAGACACAGTTTATATGATATCGACAGATTGTGCTTGCTTTCCAATGATCATGCGACATACACGCAGCCAGAGCAGCTGGAGCAGCTAGAGTAGTCGCCATGGCGTGTTTAACATACACTGCACAATATACTTTAACAGCGGTGCTTGCTGCACAACTTAGATAATTTAAATTTACATACAGGAGTAAGTTGCGCATTATTAAAGTTTTGTGACCAATGTGAAAGTAGCTGACATCAGTACGGGAACTGCACTTGAATACACACGTTAAATACTTTGTTCTGGAAACTCGAATATATTCTAAAATATATTAGTTAGTTAAACTTCCTTATAAATATAATATGATAAAATTAGTTGAATATTTTGTATATCATCATTCAGCTTATCTGAGATACAGCTTAGAAATGGATTAGTATTTCGTGGTAGCTTCTACAAATTTCAAGAGACAAAGTACAGTACATGCTGTATTACTGTACACTGTGGACTCCAATACCTACTCCTGATAACTTGATATAACCGTGAGTAGGGTTGCCAGGACAACATCTAGAGGCAGATTATTACATTAGTACCCATGGCAACCTCTACAACATGATACTTCAAACTTTGGTAAGCGAACACGCGTCTTCTTCCTACACGAATACATTGTAGTATTTACCGACAGTGTGTACACTAATTACTGATAATTAAATGATTACTGATGAATAGACTTTTCAAACCTCAAGGGGTTTATCTTTGTCGGTGATGGCCTGTTTAAGCCCTCTGATGTCGTCACTCAAAACGTCAATCTCACGTTTGGTGTTCCTCTGTTGCCACTCAAGCTCGTCTTTTGCCATCTGTACCTGAAGATAATTATATCAAAAATTTTGTCTAAGTTAACCACTTCATATTTTCGATATTAACAGAGCTAATGAAGAGAATTGCAAGATCAAAACTTGTGTTAAAAACATGCAGGAGGCCAGTAAATAAAGTTAAAAGTGGTGATTCTACCTCATGGATACGTTTCCTGAAAGCGTACTCAGTCCTCAAACGCTGAGCCTCCAGATCGTTAGAAGTCTGCTCAATCATGTTATTAATAGCCTCACGAAGTGCGGTGGAAGCTTTCATTTCCGCTACAGCACGTTGGGTGTTGTAGTTGCTGTGACCGTCCCAAGCATCAGGCATCACGATACCCTCCTTGATGCAGTTGGCGCCCGCGTGGAAGCCAATGTTAGCGGACTGGTTTGTGAGACTGTGGCACGCCTGGTCCACGTCAAGACAGTGCATCTTGTCAGCCAGATCGTCACACATTGCATTGTACGCATCTTGCAGGGCACTGAGCGGGATATTTCGTTTACAAGTCAGCTCACGCATTCTATGATACCCTCTTTATTTTCCTTAACACTAACAGACATTTTATTTTTTATTTTATCTGATATTTCAGTTGAAAATACAACTTAAAACAGAGAATAGAACTTAAAACAGAGAATATAACTTAAAAGTGAACTCACCAGAGTTGCTGGAAAGCTTCATTGACCTTTTGCTGCAGTTTCTCTTTGATACCATTAATAACTTCAACCTCCTGAATGCCGACTGGGTCAACTGAGTTAGCTATAGTTGAGCGATTCTAAATCAATTTCGAGATCAACGGTCTAGTAATGAGTATATTGGTGGCATGTTATTTTATGGTCGTGTAATTGGCCGTGTTTCAAGTAACAACCAGTTCAAAAATACGAACCTTGTTCAGCTCTTGGTTCACTTCGTCATCGACAAGGTCGATAGATACTCTAATAGACCTAGTTGCAAGGTTGTCGTGCACTACCTCAAATGGAGTGTTCATATTCGTGAGGGCCGTCTCAGTTCTGAAGAGATAGATTTATATAATGAGATGCTCTGGAGTCTGGACCAGTAACTCCTGATATAATACTGGATCAACAAAATTTCGATTGAGTTATTTGAAAAAAAAAAGAAAAAGAATCCTTAGAAGCTATCCTACCAATAGCTAAGGAAGTCTTCAAGGAGTTTAACCTGTTCATTAACACAGAGAAAACAGAATTTACCCATGTTTTCCTCGCTCCTGTTGGGGAAACAATCCCTGGTCGTGATGATACCATGTTACGTGGAAATGAAGATTGGCGGAAGAGTAAGATTCTTGGGTCATTGTTGTGTAGTGAAAGTGATATAGCTGCTCGATGCATTGCTGGGAACAATGCCTTCTATAAGTTCACCAAGATCTGGTCTCAGCAGAATATCTCCGTTACCAGAAAGATAGCAGTATACGAAGCTCAAATTGTATCAATCATCATGTACAATTGCAGTAGTTGGTGTCCTACTGCAAAGTCACTAGAAAAACTAGACATTTGCCATAGAAAACACCTTAGATCATTACTGAACATTTATTGGCCTCATGGAACAATATCCAATGCAAACTTATACCTAAGATGTAACTCAGTAAAGCTATCAGATCGTGTCCCTAAAGCAAGGTGGAAGCTCCTAGGTCATATCTTGCGTAGTGCTGATGACTCCCCCGCTGCATTAGCGTTAAAGTTTGCTGTCACAACAAACTGTACAGGGCGCGTCGGTGCGCATCGTAAGAATTTGTTCAAGATTATTGTGAATGATTTGACCCGTAGAGGTTTAAAACTTAACTCTTTGAATGATCTTAATAAGCTTAAGATATTAGCCGATGATAGAGTTGCTTTAGGGACTACGGGTGGAAGATGAATAATTGATATTCCAACAGCATCTTGTTCCCTGCATTGTGCTGATTCCGGGAAGCATTTTGTTTACGCTCTCATCATTCTGTAGGATGAGATATCGTTCATTTAAAATTGGGTAATTATAGGCCTGTCAAGGATTTCAGCCTAATTAAGAGCTGATCAATTGCAGCTAGTTGTGCCATATAAGGGATAACTGAGGTCACGTGACATTCGGTCCTATCACGTGACCGCTAATCCTATCACGTGACCTTGATTCGTAAAGCCTCGGGCACGTGATCACATTCGTAACGTGTCGTATGCCGACTAGGAGATTTTGTGACGTCACCAGAGCTGAATAATATCGTGTATCGGGTGTAATTGGACCCAATTAGAGCAGCTGAGCGCTCAATTATAGCAGCATCTGGTACCACCTTCTGAAACCCAGCAGACAGCTGGCCCAGAGAATCGAAATTAGAAGGATTTTTTATTGATGGAAATCGAAGCGGAAACCTTGTAACCCTATGTTTTCGATGACGCCGAACAAGATTAAACAGGTTATAATTGTCCTACTCTCGTGTAAATTGCTCTAAAACGTGATTGAAATTGTAATGATGCTATCAATTGTAATACAGTTTTTACATTAAGCTGAGCGGCGTAACGGCTGGCATTCCTGGGCCGCACTCATCCCAGATTGTCATTCCGCCGCAGCTTCAATTTATCTGGATATTACAGCCTGGGGTCCCCAGGTAACGACTGGAACCGCTATATCTGCCTAATCTCAGCTATTGTAAATAACGAAGCCTGTGATCCGCACATCAGGTATTGACCACATTGAACGGGCTTGAATCGAACAAGCCGTGTTATTAATATTAAAGATATTAATACCAAAAATCGTATTACTAGATTACCTTCTTGTCATTTGTGCGAAGTGCGTACTCTTTATACTGCAGTTTGAAGTGCATTACAGAGTTAATGTTATGTGTATTATACAGTTACAGTTATGTAACTGTTGCACACAGTAAAACTTACTGCGATCGCGCTGATAAGAAGTGAACTGATAAGAGTCGAGTAAAATTGCAACGTAACTAAAATCAATGTAACACCGCTATATGAATAGTGATCATTTCTCAAATAGTTTTCTCAATATTGCAATGAAGTTGTCCGATTTTATTGATGGAACGTGTGACAGCCTTCCATGTCACAGTCCTCCGTCAAACAAGGACATCCTTCGTTTTCTTTTGAGCCACAAGGAAAACCATGCGACTCATGTCGATTTAATGCTGGCCGAGGTTTCAAGTTTGATATTAAGTCATTACAGTACCATCGAAGTGAGTGCTAGTGTTTTTTAGGTATTTACCCTACAGCACAGGTTGTTCACGATACATCAGTCCGGTTTCAAACATATATTTTCTGCGGGGGAAAATAAGAGAAATATAGCCGATCGATCTTTCATAAATTAATCTACAGATGTTTAAAATTTGTTGCTTGGAGAAACAAATTTTAACTCTAGCTGTCTTGATCTGTACTGATCACCATTTTAGGATGACTTGATTTCTTTTAGGGGTTTTGAATATTTTAATGGTGTAAACAGTTTCTTAATAGTTATTTGATGTTTTTTTCTTTTCAAAATATGCAGACGTAGCGGGTCTGCGAGGCCGTTTGTTATGCCACTGCAACTGTTTTCCATATATGTAATGCAAATGATTGGTTTGAATATTTATTTAAAACTTGCTGTATTATACACTATACAGCAAGCATGATTATTTATTCATTTAAAGACAAAATATGGGTACAATCGTGTCGGTAATTCTCTAACTAAAGAAAGGGGCGATAGAAATCATTAAAGTATATAATAAAATAGCGTCACCTCTCCTTGTGGGTGGTCAGAGCCGCTATTTCAGCGTTAGTATCAGCAATAGTCTGTTCTAACTTATCCTTCCATGCGGTAATATCACTCATTCTATCGTACAACCTGCAGAGTATTAATAGTCAGTTTCAAGTCACGTTGGGCTTAACACACTCGTCAGTAAATCACCTGGGTTTAGATATGTAGCTGACAAGTTTTCTACTCATCTAATAGACCTTATAAATAACTAGGGAAACTGGAAGACCATGTGAAATTTACTTTTCAGATAGATGACATAATCTATGAATCTGATCAATCACTACAAGCTCCCAACATCCAGTCAATTCTATAACTTAAAGCATAATTATGAACAGATATAGTGACCTTGTGGTATTGTCGTTCTGACCCCAGTTGGTCTTGTTATCCGTATCATTTCTCAGTTGTCTTGCAGCTTGTCTTATTTCCAGAGAGCCACCTTGCTGTCGGGTAGCTGTAGATGAAATAATAGAGTTGGAGTTGTGCCAATCATTTGGGGCAAATGTTGTGCCTGTCTTCGTTAGGTAAGTTCCGGTAGGTCCATTTCCAGTCTGAAAGAATATTGATTTCAATTCATAATCATACGAAAGGCAACTGTCGAAGATTTAATCTCATAGAGGAATAAAACTAGATTATGGAGTCAAAAAGGAGAGTATGTTTTGTTCTATGATATCAAACTTTTACAGATCATAACTTGATAAACAGCTGCTCAATTAAAAGAGTACAAGTGCATAGTATTATATATACTATGCAATTAACCTTACAAACATTCAGAGGATTACCTTATAGTCCCCACTAGTAGATGTCATGGAAACGCATGTCGCGTTTTTGTTAGCGTATGTTGTCGCTGACATACTAGGACTCTGTACAGAAAGTATATTTTACATTATTAGGACGACAGTAATTTAAATTATAAAATGTTTAATAACAAGAAACACTCAGCACCAGTTGCCTAGGCATGCCTGCTGCCTTGGATCAAATTTTGAATGTTGAAAATAAATATGGGCATATTTTTATGTTAACCTCTGGGATTTGTTTGACATTGTGGGCAAAATATTGGTTTGCAACAAACTGAGACTAAATTACGCTGAGTAATCGCCTTTAGGTTAAACGAGATCCAAAGGGTCTGGGTTCCCCCTTAGCGTGTGTGATTCTATTGCACTAAGAAATTTCACTTTCTAGGGTCTTATCTAGTTTTATCCTTTGGAGGCACCTTCAGATTTTATCACAAACCCTGATATACTTTCCTCCAATCAGGCTCTTGGGGAGAAAATCATTCAAAAAGAGTGCTGCAAACCATTGTTTAAAAAACATAACATCTTAATCTTCAGAAACTACACTTAGCACACGAATACGAAAACCTTCCAAATTTTAAAACTTCGGCAACCTCTGTCACTCCACGAGCAGTATAGTATATCTAGTAGATAGGAAACTGTTTTCACAAAATTTCCACTATCCTCATTCCTCAGACTTTATACCGAGATCAACCAGGCTATTTTTTCCATCGACTTCTTTTTTCTTTAAAAAAGCATAAGATGGTTAGAAGTGGTAGGAATTGAGGATGGGTAGGGTAGGTAGGTAGGTTTTTCGTGGTGTCACAAAGCAAAACATGCATTACCCTCCGCATACATGTGCTCCTTCATAAATGTACACATAGCGTAAAAAGTGGATTTTGGTAATGCTGCGCCTTGCCCATACGTTCAAGCCAGGTTCAAGGGATGTAACTTCAGTCGATCATAATTGCAATGAATTCAGTGTTTCATTAATATCATAGCTACAGTATGCGAAACAATTTCGAAAACAGTTGCCAGCTGCAATTACAAAGACGAAATTTAAAAAGCAAACTGATCGCAATCAAATCCAACATTTTAACCATTTTCTTGACCAAGTAGTAAGTACAGAACATAAAACTAGATTTTGAGAATAACAAAACATATGTCCGAAGAACGTAGCCATCATCGAAAACCAATAAAATCACTTTACAATTGTAGAATTGTGCACTTTAAATGACGCAAATTGCTACTCAGCGGTGCGCATGGCTAGGCTGGCGATCAAATTTTCAACGAAAGCAAACAGAACAGACCGCAACTAAATTGTCCGATTATATGCGCGTGAATTTCCTTTAATAACTGCATGCGTCGCATTACGTGCCATTATTCCATATATGGTCATGCGAATTGAAATCAGGACGGGTATCAGATTTAGTTAGAAATGTGAATGTGAATTTGTTATTGGTGAGTCCCCAAATAATATACCATATTTACCGACCGATCCATGTCAAGGGAAAGATCAGCGGTTGAAAATAACACAGCTAACCAGTGAACGTAGTCATACTGCAAATTAATCGCGATGCATATATTATATTCGAACGAATTTTGCTAAGTATTATGATATAGAATTGTAATTATAGGACTTATAAAGACAGTTGATGGAAATTTAGCGTCCGCCTATGGCCTAACGGGCGCAATTCTTGTTTATTTGAAATTGAATCAATTGTTAAGTATGAGAATCAAGCACTACATTTCTGCTTTCAGCCATACAAAATTACACTGACAACTGATGGAAACAATGGCATTGCAATATAAATTGAATACTGTGTGGCCAGATAACAACTAACTAAACATATTATATGTAGATGTACTGATTATTATTATTATTAAATCTAAAATAGCTAATAATTTAATAAATTATTAACAGGCCCCTTAACGTGGGCAATAATATACGCTTTATAAATTATATAAACAAATTGCAGTCTATTTTTCCAATGTTGTTAAGTGTCTCTTTAGATCTGTTTTGGTGTTTTGTGGGAGTTCCCACATTTGTTGGTTGAGAATGCTCAACATAACATACATGATGCTTGACTGCTTTATTGACCCGGACAGGCACCGGGGGCAGACATCCCAACACCAGTGCGTTGGGACATAGTGTTGGTCTGCTTCAGGACGTGTTAGATCCTAGAGAAGCCGCCATCCCCTCTACTGCTTTAGCTCAGCGGCAGCATGAGCCCTGGTTTCCTGCCACATCGGTACCTCTGAAAGTACAGAAAAGTGGTGGATTTCGGGGTCCAGGATCCTCCCTCTTTAATCTTTACGGTGGTGTTATTTCTCTGAGATGTTTGCAGAGTCTTTATTTTATGATCTTTCTAGTTTAGTTGGATAAATCCTGGAGAGCATCATTTTGACCCCAAAGAAATTCGACTCTTCTAATGAATGCTTTTTGTGTGCTGCTTTTTGTTAACACTTCATCTAGATAGGAATGTGAGTCAGCCCCACCCAGCTCTTCTTTTAGCTGCAGGTAACTGGTGTCTTGCACCTCCAGACACAATAGGAGCTGGTGTACAGGAGAATCATCGAAGCTGTTGCAGAAACGACAGGCCTCACCACTGTCACCACCCATGATCTTTTGGATATTCGCAAAGAGTGGTGAGCTGCCGTGAATGTAGTCCATTATTCGGCTGTCCAGATTTTTACTCGTGTTGTGCCCGAATAAGAAGTTGTTTTTGTCTAGGAGCAGCCCACTGTTTTTGATCTTTGTGATCACACCAAGTATCTTGGTCTCCTTGTTGTTACTGACAGTTCTGCATTGCAGATTTGTTTCGATGCTGTCAATCCAGATCTTATTTTTGTAGCTCATTATGTCTGCCTGAGTGTAATAGGCCAGATCCTTGAAATGTTGCTGCGTTAGGTCTATCATTCTGGTTCCGTGTGACTTATTTTCTTTCCAAAGGAAGTACTTTTTCAGTGACATTGTTAAGACATGAAAGCTTGGTATTCTGCTTTCGTCAACTTGGTAGAGTGTAGCTGAGAGGTTGTCACCTTGTGTGAGTACTTTGCACATGAATTTAACCGAAAGAGCTTCGAGTTGTACTGAAGGGGTTAGGGGGTATCCAAAGAAGATTTTGATCTTTTGGCTAGCCCCCTCCTCTACTCAACATTTAACACTTAATCACGTTTCCGATCATTCGGCTGAGTTGGTCGAAGGTCAACCAGGCTAATGGAACACTATCATGCACATATCACTCAAAAACCAAAATTACGGATTAGTCGCGCAAAAGTAAGTCTTATAAATCTTTACTCTTACTCAATATATGAATGCAAACGATGTTGTTTTAACCTAATATAACCTAATATAACCAGAGCCCTCGCACGACCACCATACAGCTAACAGCGTTTTTCATGGATGATCATTAATCTTACTTGGCCGGCGACGCTCAGCCTGTCATTCCGCCAAATTTTTATGAACATTACAGCTTGTCATACCTTTTATGACCCTGTATCGTAAAAACGCTAAAGGGGGTGAAACGACAATGGGGGTCACGACGTGATACAAATTACAGCTTAGAGTCCCCAGGTAAGATTAATTACTGTACATTTGACTGTCGCGTGAAATTTTTAGCATGTTCTCTAGCGCATGGCCCTAAATTACTTTTCGAAACCTTGGAGGACTTCGCCGCTTCGACGCGCCGCGCAAACTAGCATTCTTGCTTCGCATTGACCATTTCACGGCCCCAACGTTAATGTGGCTGTTGCAGTGTTGCGATTGTGTTGGTTCAGCCGAATTAATTATAATGTAATCAAGTTTATTTTTTCTTTTAGTTAGTTGTCATCCGGCCAAACATTAAGCAACTTATATTGCAGTACCAGGTACCTTTTATCAATTAGTTTATCAAAATATGTCATTGTAATTTTGCATGGCTGAAATGTAACGCTTGATTTATATATATATATAATAATTAATTGAATTTGCAAATAAAAAAAATTGTTAATGGTCTGGCCCGGCGCGCGCTACTTCGTAGCTCGTGCCATCGAGCCATTTAGAGAAAAAATCGGCGCGCGCTACTTCGAAGAAATTTAGACGAGTAACATCCGTCAAGCTTCGCATCGATGCTTTGCATCGACGATCGTTGCTCTGCTTTGCAAGCGGGCGGGCGCGCGCCACTGCAAGGGCAAGGGCTCTGGCGATTCACGATAGAGCAATTCGAAACCCTAACCATCGAATCTAATTCTATTCCTAACCCTAACCTAGTCCCTGACAAAAGCATATGCTGAAATCTTGTAGCGCGATGCGTTACTGTGCCGCGCCGCGCACTCAATTATGAGGCTTCTCACAGCGACATCTAGATCGGCAAAATGCGCTACTGTGTACTGTGTCACACCGAGCTGCGGTGAATTGACATCGTCAATTAAGCTGAAATCCTACAATCCTAACGAGAAATTAAACTGAAACCAACTGTAGTTGGTAGTATAAATGATAAACTTCGTTCACATAATACATGTGTTTACGCGCGCTACTGTGTACTGCAAGCGAGAGGGCTTTGGTTAGAGCAATTACTCGCCTCCCGGCGTGCGGCGGTAAATTTTGTGAAACAGCAGCGCGAAAGCAGTACATGGTTAGGTAAACCATGGACTGACCCGGCATTGCTCTAACCAGAGCCCTATCGCTTGCAGTAGCGTGCGACCGCCGAATTAGGCGGTATATTACTTGTTGCTTGTGATACAAGCGCGTCACGCAGTACGCGTAGACTCATGTCATATGTGTCATGTGCATGGCTAGGTAAAAACCCGGCACGTCACGCGCTACTTTGCAGAAATTAATTGCATTTTCTTCAGCTTCATTTTTCGAGAAGTTAGCAGCATGCGTTTATACTTAGCTTTGATCAAATGTTGAATGTCAAAAAAATGAGTACCTATATACCAGTATAAACTTGCAGGTATAACAGTATAATTTGGCTTTTACTAATTCGCTCGCCCAAAAATTTTACGTGACTTTGGTTTTTATGGTTTTGCAGCCGTACAAAACGGTTTTACATAAACCCTAATCCCAACCCTAACCCTAACCATAACCCCGAAGCTAACCATAACCCTTACCACAATCCTAACCTTAACCCGAGCCCTAAACAATCGAATTCGTATTTTACTAGCCTGTCACGTGACCAAAACGGTTTTTTTGCCCATAACTCTCCTGGGAAGCATTTTAACCCTACGTCATGGTGGGTGATTCGGAATCAGCGTCCAAAAATACACCGATTTGGATCACTTTCATGCCCAAAGGGCCTTTTCACAAGAATTTTCCTAAAATTTGTTTTCACGTGGTTTACTAGATAATAATAACGATCGCAGCGCGCAGAAATTGCTGCTTTGCTTCGCAGAGGAACGATCTCGATGGGTTGACATTGCATCGTCAAGCAATCAATTATGCACGAATGTTTAACTTTAATGTCTATATTGTTGAAGATATGGCGGAATAACTTTGCGGTTACTTTATTAGGAAAATGTAAAATTTTATTTTATTTTATTATATATTATGTATTAGGTGAAAAGTAATCATACATTTTCAAAATCAAAATTATTGTTAACCAATTTGCAAGAAATATTAAATATAAAGAAATGCAATTGCAAAGCTACTGCAGATAAAATGTTGATGGCTATAGGCAAAGCTACATCGAGCGCAGCAGTATTGAGTATTTAGTCAAGCTCCCAGAATGGCCAATGCCTTTTCACATGACACCTGCAAAGTAAATACAATGATCTTTCTCAGACAATCGATTTGATATTTTTAATCATGCCATGGATACATTCATGAAATTTTAGTGTCGTATTTTACTTTAATTCCAATTCCAACGCAAACAAGTACAACTTTTTAAATACGCGTACTACAACGTACAAGTCTGAGAGTCTAATAACAAAACAGATTATTAAAATTACCTCACAGGATCCTTCCATATCAGCTAAATAATGCTAGTGATAAACGTTTTAATCCATGTTAATATAACGCTTTTCAATTTAAACATTAAATAATTATAATAATACCGCACTGGATTATCCAATATAGTATATAATAACTTCGTAAAGGTAAACAAAATTAAATCTTAGCAGATGTTAAGATTTAAATCTATTTGCTATTGCACACCTCACCAACCAAACCTCACAGAATACTGCTTAACAAGTAATAAAATCGTCAACAAATTTAGCTAAGCGGACTATGGACAATGAGCGCAAAAAAGAGAGCAGGTTCGACCAAAAAAGGACTACATAATTGGCACATTGCCCAGTATCACTGTAAAAAGCTATCAAAGACACAATTCAATTCGCTATGCTTAAAAACCAATTAAGAATTAAAACTAGCAGGAACCCCAATCTACAGAAAACTAGCTAGCATACACAATACACGATAATCGAATAAATATTTACTGGGATCACTAGACTCTATTATCATATTATCACTACTATCCTATCTGAGAAGTTGAAAATAATAACAATAAGGTAAATTTTCGTTGCTATTAGCCTGATAGGTACACTTAAGCTTGAAAATCGGCCCAAATGAGAAAAAGCATGGGTCATACATCCGTATACCTGATGGCACTGCCTCGACAGTGCCATGAGACTGAGAGTGCTACGAGAGTGCCACGACAGTTCCACGAGAGTGCCGCGACAGTGCCGTCGGGATCCGGATGTATGACCAAAGCATGTTGAGGACTCCCGTTGATAAATATTCAATGCTGTAGAAAAGTCCAACCAGCTAATAAACAAATTCTTATATAAAAGTTACTGCCAGCATCTTTTACTCTCGATAAAAGCTGTCATCTGCCGGTTATGTTTGTGATCATAGAATAGATCCAAAAACGTTCATCATATATGCCTTATCAGTGGCTTGATAACTGAATTGTATTTATTCCATCTTCACTGGTTCTTTCTCTTCTGTCTGTAAAGGTTTTATTATCAAAATAATCAAATCAATCCTCAGTAAATATTTTTGAAAGGGAAACTGTTGATCAATTATAATGATGATCAGCCAAATCTAAGTAAGCAAAATTATGTAACCACTCTATAACATCAGTCAGGTATTTAGTAGCACAATCTATTCACAGAACTCCATAATAGCCCCACTGATGTTGTACAATGGTATCAGTTTCGAGGGGTTCTATCGAGTTATAGTCTCATCAGATTCGGTCAATCAAATCTGAAAAACTTAGCGATAAATGCATTGGCCCAATTTGAAGATTTTAGAATGAAACCACACCGTTTCTCCGAGCACTTACCTTGAAACGTTTCTCCTGCGGCTGCAACGAGAAGGGTTGTCCGATGTTGAAGGAGAGCGGGGATTTGTCCTGGACATGGTGAGTTTTCATGTGCTCCTTCAGAGGCATGGCCTGAGTGTAGCTCTTACCACAGATCTGACAGACGAAGGGACGCTCGCCAGTGTGGAGGCGGCGATGCACCACCAGCGAGGACGGCTGGGTGAAACACTTATTGCACTCCTCGCATTTGTAGGGCTTCTCTCCTGTTGAAATATGCGCCATCATTTCAAGAGTATTAGTTGATATATTGGCAGTTATTGCAGCTCAAACGATTGCATATTTTTCTATTAATTAGTCTATCAGTCGATTAATTAGTCCATAAAAGAGATCCCAATCTGTTTAATGCTAAACGGACAAATCAAAGCATCCCAAAATGGTTAGGTGAAAGAAAGATATCTTACCAGTGTGGATGCGGATGTGATGCTGGAGAGATGCTGGCTGGGTAAATCTCTTGTTACAGTACTTGCAAACGTAGGGTCGCTCCCCAGTATGGGATCTCATGTGGCATCGTAGACTCGCACTTTGGGTAAATCTCTTTCCACACTACGGATATCAAAGTTACTATTTTGTCAGTAAAACCGAATGAAAAATCTGTCCATTTGGTTAACAGGTGTTTGCCTTTTACAACCGATGTTGCAAGCAGGATTTGGTATGGAGATAGTCGAAAAGAGAGGCAGGAACGTGATATATAACAATGTAAGATATCACAGATATGAATTGAACTATACCTCAGTGCATCGGTAAGGTTTTTCTCCGGTATGTAGGCGTTCGTGGCACTTCAGATTAGAGATCTGAGTAAAAGCTTTGTCGCAGTAGTGACAATGGTAGGGCTTTTCTCCCGTGTGTATTCTCTCGTGAACAAGAAGAGCACTTTGTTGTGAGAAAATTTTCCCACAAAACCGACACAAGGACCTGGATGAATTTTCAATTTAGAACATGGACTGAGAAGTAACTATAGTCGATAACTTCTTGTGTTATGGTAAATAGCTCTGAAAGCAGATAGATCAAACCATCTTGCAAATCTAATCAGGTCATCTCAAACATGAAATAGATAAGTTTAGAGTAATATCTTACCCTGGTTTGGGAGGACGCGTACTTTTGGTTCCTTTAGCAGTAGGCGTAGTAGTGGTTGTACGCGCAGGTGGAGGAGGGTTGTTCAAATTATGAACCATGGCAAGGAGGGGGTGGTTAGCAAAGTTTTGACTCAGCAGTGACATGTCGAAGGAGAGACCTCTCACAGCTGCAGCAGGAGTTGGTAGAAATGATCGGTTCTGAGAGTTCGTGAGACCTTTTAGTAACAGACTGTTGCTTTCTCCTCCTATTAATCTTCTTTTCATCATCTCCTCTCCGATCAGTCTCTGGAGGAGATTTTAAAATGTCAATCGACAATCGATAGTTTATAATTATTGATCCTAGCCTGCTAGGAAAATGAAAGATTTTATTCAACAAATTAGTACGTGAAATCTTAAGGAAGGATTTGTATTTTCATATTGTAATTCAGATAGCTACAGAAATATTACCTGAATATGAAGAGCTATATCCGCAGGATTGTTCTCATGAGTGACACCAGGTTGCTTCAGTGGTGTTGGTGAGGGACCAGGTGACATGAACACAGATGATAGTTGTGATTGCAGTGCATCACCAGACGCTAACAGACCATCACCAGACGCTAACAGACCATCACCAGACGCTAACAGACCATCACCAGGCGCTAAGAGACCATTATCAGGTGCTAACATACCGTTATCAGGTGCTAACATACCGTTATCTGGTGTTCTCACCTCGCTTGAAGGAACCTGAAAACTTCTGTCTGGTGACGCCAGCATTTTGTTATTAGTTGAGCTTATCACCAACTTTTCATCGGAAGTTGTCGATCCAATGCCTTCAGTGGAAGTCACGTCACACTCCGTTGAAATGTTAGGGTTTGATGACAGAGTGGGTGAGTCTCGTGGTGGAGATATAACAGCATCAGGCCTCTCAGTGATGGGTTCTGATTTGATCTCCATATGTATAGGGTCTGAGGTGCTAACGGTAGAAGAGAATGGAGAAGAAGTGCTTACGACAGGAGAGAAGGAAGAAGAAGTACTGACTGTAGGAGAGTGGAAAGTGGAGGTGGGCTGCAGTGTTTCGTGTCCTGAATAGATGTCAGTTTATGGAAAATAGTTCTTTGGTGCGATGAATGATGATTGATGAGTCAACTTTAAAAAGTTAAAACGGTATAAAGAAGATCGCAATTCCCTTAAACGAATTCGAGCATTATTTAGAGATCCTTACCTTGCGCAGCGATCAGGTGACTGTCGATGTGTTTCTTGATGCCGACACACAACTGGACTAGCTCCTCCAGCTTATTCCCCGGAAAGACCAAAGAAGTGGGTAGTCCAGGCATCTCCTCCTTCAAACAACCGGAGCTCTTGGTGAATCCGTCCATCTCGAGCTGGCTGCAGATCAGGGAGTAGAGCAGTGCCTGGTCGTCCTTCGTCGGTAGCCAAGTCGTCATACTCATCATCATTAAACTGAAAATTGGCGATAAGGAGGACTGACTGAGATTGCTATCTTGCAAATGAACAGCAGTTCTAAAAATTCTAAAAATGAATAGTTCAACTTCAACAATGTGGAGTACTGCGCAATCTCCGCAAAGTTCGCGTGAAAATCAAATTGGTCCCAACGAAATTTAAGTAACATCAGGTTGTTGGTGCACGAGCTGGATCCTAGAGAACAAGCGAGAGAGTTATATAAATCTAATATGATTACTTCAATTAGGTGTATGGAGCAAAAAAGATATATTCTGGGGCCGGCTGAAATCACAAAATTTGACACGGAGTGGAAGAAAATCGAATTTTGATTGGACATCGAGCTACTACAATGGACCGTGTCTCAGATTTTTACAAACAATTGGCAAATAAATTGCGATCAATGGTTTTTACTTCTGATCGATGCTGCGTCGCAGCGTTTCAAAACGATATTGTCCGAAAAATAAAATAGTACACTCGATACAATAACTCAAATATCGAGATTTGCAAAAATTTGTCTGATATTTGAGAAATAAAGGCATGTAATATCACGTGGGATATTGGCTTCGCTAAAAACAGCTATCTGACCCTGATTGCTATTGTCGTTCCCGAACAATGAATCATTTAAAGTCTGCAAAGGGAGAGTTTCAGCTACTAGAAGTACTAAATGAAATCAAGTAAAATGTAGATGCGGGATAGTTTGACACGTGCCGTGTGCACGCGAGAAGGTGTTCCAGAATTACCTCCCCGACTCTAGTAGCACCAGGACCTGCATTACATGAAAATAAATTTTAGTAGGTGCCATGTATAATCGTAGCCTCACGGAAAAAGAACAATTCTAGTTTATCGGGCGGCTAATCCGGAGTTCGATTAACGACACGCGCTGGAAATAGTTGACTAATGTGCGGACAATACTGGCGGCTCGGTAATTTTGCACTACGTTATAGTACGGTCCTACAACATCATCATCCGCCCCCGCTCTCCTCTTCCTACTCACATAGAATTGATGACAGCTGTAAATTGGTCTCTCTCAACATTAGCCTATAGATTAAACGAAATTTTCTTGTTCAGAAAGTGGGCAGAATGGTAGAATACTGGTCGGTGGTGGTGCCTAACGAACAATTTCTGGGAGTCCCGTGTGGGGCCGGGGTGAGATCTGGAAAGGAGAACCTCAGATACTTAAAATCAATTAATGGCACTTACTACTTAAGTACTCAACTTACCAGAGTGGAGAGTTTTTCGGATCGTCTATCAGCCAAAGGACGAGATTAATTAGCTTGGTTCTGAAAACGGAAGGAAGGGTTAGATCCGGTGCTGAATATTGTCGAGAGGTGCATTATTCGATTCACACAGATCACCAGATTCTAATTTCGGGCCGCAATAGTTTAATGTGAAAGCTGAATTCTAAAATCCTTAATTATTCAATCTTTGATGTTTGGTTTATAATCCCCTTTACTTTCTTCTGATATTGTAATAGTTTACGTTCAGTGAAATATTACTTTTGTCAATGTTAATAAAATGAAACAAATAAGATATCAACTACATTGCTACGTAAACGTATTGTTCTCAAAATGTCTATCTGTCATGAATGATGTATAGGTTAAATCAATTTAGATAAGGCCCGGCCTTTACCTCCAAATGTAGACTGTTTAAATCACTTTCATAGCACCAAGAAAAAAACCAATCCGGGAAATCTACTAAATGTCATAATCATAAAACTAAATATAATGTTAGACACACTCAATCAAAATTTATTTATTATATGACACTGTGCCAACGACACTGAATCTGTTGACATTGTATTGACAAATATATTGTCACAAATAAATAGACAACTTCTGTCCTGAGAAGAAAATCCCAATTTCAGTTTCGACCATTAGTCATTGATCTACTGGAGAGACTGGAAAAGGGGGTAGGGGTCAGGCTCCTCTGGATGTTGGATTTGGCCCTGCCCAGGGCTGGAGAACTAGGACAACTCTTGATCTGCGAACCGGGAGAATCCACAAGATACGCCTGCAGTCTCATCTGAAATTGTTGTGTATTAGATGTGTGGTTGGTTAGCTTTAGGGTGAGAGGCTAAGACAGATAAACTCGTGCTAGATGGCTCTTGCAGATCTATAATTTGAAATCAGAGATCATATTATCTTATTCTATAAAAAGGAATCCACAAAAAGATTAAAAAGGTTCGGAACATGCGTATATTTATGGTTTTTTTTTTAATCAGTTAGTACTTAGCCAGCAGTCAGAATGCAGAAGGCCAAGGTGTTTTCCCTAAATTTTTAGTTTAACTGTTGAGTTAGTCACGTACGGGTAATCGATTACCGTGCTGCAAGGCAAATGATCACCTTATGTTAAAATATATGTCCCGAAATTATCAGCCAGTTTATAATACAAAAATAGGAAAATTCGTTCAATGACTGTCTCTTAAAGAAAATCTATAGGCCAAAATTCCAAGAAACATTGATTTTTTTTATGCATTACAGCTGGCTAAATTGTAGCATCATGCATTTCAAACCATCATCACACTAAAGAACAACAACATCAATTAAGAGGCTTGTTGGAGCATATGCTGGCACAACAAACAATTTACTTCGTTATCGTTAATTTCTTAAATTGACATTTTGACGAGGGGACCGGACATTTCACCCCTCAAATGTCGGAAACGATAAAAACCATTTATATATTAACACGTTCTTCGAGTTTTCATGTTTCATGCAATACATACAAATATTTCCTTTAAGCTGCGAAGTGTATGAGGGCACGTTGAATTAGACGTAACTTGAGTCACCTGACCCGCGTGGACTCGTTGTCCAGACTGTCATTTTATTTAGCCAATAACGACAGCAATGACTACTATTGCTGCTGAGTGCTGTTAAACCACCGTTGAAGGTATGTTCGTTAGCCTGCGCAGATCATAAAATCGACATCATGCAAAAGCTAATTCTTAATTTAATTGCGGAATTAAATCTTATGATGTTGAAGAGTAAAGATGCTGAATTTGACGAAAGCTTAAATGAGAGTCTACGTGATGCGGGCTTCACAAGTAACGGCAAGGTATTATAGCACACACATAAATAGCGTTTAGTGTTTACCGCGTTCCTTCCTGTTGCCACAGCGTGACAGCGTCTTGCCATCCAACTTAAAAAAGCAGGAGTAAGCCATTTACTAAAGATGTTCATAGTGGTAGATGGGGGTGAAAATATTTTTCTATCGTGATTTTATCCGAAATGAATTCGGATGATTGACTTATTGATCGTCTACTTACTTGATCGAATTTTTTATTGATCACCTTATTGATTGATTAATTGATCGATTTTAATGAGGCCTTTTCCATCTCAACAGCCAGATTCAAACCAAAATCATGCAACATCAGCACATTTATTCCAAACATTCCTTCATTCTCACGTTTGTTTAAAATAAGTATTTTCATGAAAATATTTAATTAAGTTACAACACGAAGAGCACTGAAACCTACTATCTACTTCATGGTCATGATTCGTATACCTACAGAGAAAGCATATAAAATTAAAGGGTTTAAAAGTCAGCCTGATGTTTTAAAATAAACTGAAATACCCACTAACAACTCTGTGAAAGAGTTCTGATAAAGATAATAAATAAAGAGCTGGTATTAAAGCCCCTCTCATTCTATATTTGTTCTACGTTGATATTTTGATTAGATTGTTCATGTACCGATGGGGGGCGGGGGTATATGGTCTCCATTTCTTCAATGTACTTCATCACTGCCTGAAGGGTATAAAATAAAGTCAAAGATTAAGAGTTTAAATGAGAGATAGAAAAGCTGCACTTGGCCGTAAATATAAAGGCGGGTTAACTAGATTAACATTTCCTACTTAGTCCTGGGGGTTGCTCATGAAATATTTTAAAGACTCACCCTTCGTTCAAAAGCCTTCGCCATGTCGTAAGCTGTCTTGCCAAACTGAAATAATCGAAAATGAGTTCAGTAAATAATGACGATTTATTTTCAAGTTAAACCCAACCAAAAACCAGGCACCGAGAAAGGTGCCTGATAACTGATAAAAGACGAATGGTAATGATAGAAATAACTCTGGATAGTGGATATTGATTATTGATAAAGAATTGTGAAGGTCGTTATATACTGAAATTATACCTATATGTTAGAATATGTTATATGTTAGATTAATATGTAACTAATATGTATGTGTCCTTCTATACTTCAAACCGCCCTTTACTAACAACATATGCAGTTCTATAGACCAATGAATGGTCAATGACAAAGTCTATTATCTACTTAACCATATACAACTGGTAAGAATTGTTATGCAGAGTGCTCTAACTTTGCCAATCAGAGAGCTTTACTGTATGAATGAAACTGAAGAATAACAGCGAACTAGTGGTTTCACATGATGGAGCTAGGCACTGATCATCATCTTCACATGAAGCTTTTTTTCACCGCATACCGCAATTCAATTCTCGAGTTTCAATTATATATTAGTAAATACGCATTGAAATAATATAATTTAATGACTGATAATATGAGAGCCGCGCACTGACACAACTGTTAGGCTGGCTCTTAACGATTAAAAAGTAGCAGCAAAATGATGTTCGCGCGTTCCATATATTTCAGAGACTACAGAACTACTTGCGTATTTGATAAGAATTTGGGGGCATCGGCTAAATACAGAAGACAAAATTCAATTAAATGCTATCCGGAACAACCCTTTCCAGTCTTAATTCCGTGAACTTGACCCGAAAAAGGACGGGCAGTTAGTCCCAAGACAAAGGGATTGTAAGAAATATGGGAAGTGCCCTCTGAATACTAATCAAGTGATTGAAAGTTTTAGGCGGGTAACGTTACAAGATACAACAAACAGACCTCATTTTCTGTCCACAGATCTGCTCCATTTTCTACCAGCAGTTCCACCATCGCCTTGTTACCGTTCAGACAGGCTGCCTGAGAATGTCAGAGTTGTATTTCACATTTACGACCTCGCATATTTCAGTGCATAAATGAAGGTAACCATGGGGAGGTGATGTGAATTTCCCTCAAAAAAATCGAGCTAGAAAACAGTGGGTACGATTTACGTCATTTAATTGCACGCATGTCTATTTAAATGCACGCATACCGAATGGAAGATCGGTCTTTAAGAAAGCAGAAATCAAACATTGGTTCAAATCAAAGTCATAATTTCCTACCATCAGAACAGGTTTGCCAGAGAGGTCTTTGAAGTTGACGTCAGCCCCTTTATCGATGAGCATCTGAAATTAGAGCGGGCGTACACTTTGTGTAAAATTACATAATTGAGAATACTGGGCAATATATATCGAGAGAAGGTCAACTGTATGTACTCTGTAACCATAACGAGAAGACACTGGTCTCCGTAATTTAATCAGACTGTGGCACAGGATGGTGCCATAATCGTTGGACGTTAGCAATTGTGCATATTATAATATGATAAAATATTGCACCTAAGGTTTGGGACGTATGACTGAAACCGGTAAAATCACATCTTTTGGATTCAGGGGATTTCTGATGATTTTTATTTCTTTTTATGGCTTTGCCTCATAAATAAAACGTTTAAAGTCGGTACGTGTGTTTAGATATATTCACATCGCCAACCGTATGAAGAGATTATCATTATATATATATAAACCCCTCCGGGTTAGAATAAGATTCTGATAATCCCGGCTCCCGCTAGATAGATTATGATAATCCCGGCTCCCGCTGTTAGTTTTTTCCCGCTGAATAGATAACCCCGGCACAGCTTCTATAATCCCGCCCCGCTAATTTGGCTCAACAAGATTTGTTTTGTTTTGATATTCCATGAGAATTTCAACCGCGCACTGTCACGTGTTTTGATGACGTGTATCACGTGACTAACTACTACGGGGCGCATTGGTAAAAAATGTCACGTGACCTATGGCTTAACGTAAGAACTGTAAATACACTTGATCTACGTATCGGTCTTACTGCAGGCGCTGGCAAAACTCCAGCACACTGCTTATGGCTTACATTACTTAAACTCTTACATTACTTGGACCAGTTCCAGAAATTGTCTCGACAGTTACATTTGTCCAGTTAATTTTGTCGTAGCAATTGCCCTGTTTGATATAAGCCATGAATTATAGTCGTCTACTTTGATGAACTTCATGTCCATGACACGATATCATTATTAGCTCCACCTTTTATCGCTTGCCAGGCTTAACTCGACGCCCCTTATCGATATTCATTCAACGTTCTGACTGAGGAATAATGTTTAGATATAACGCCAATTTCAAATGTCATAGTACCTTAGTTGTATTTATTTGGTAGTATAATATACTCCCCAATTCCATTTCATATTTCCATACTGATCTCATATAGCTAGAATTATGAAATTTGTTGATCCTAGCACTAACCCGGAGGGGTTTATAACACATAACACCGGCACGCTTAAGTTATATTAAAATAACCCCTCGTGCTAAAGCATGTCGGGGTTATTTTCATAATAATCCCTCGTGCTTCGCACTCGAAATTATTATAAATTTTTCCCGCGCGTCGCGGGAAAAATTGAAATATAATCCCTGCGCATGCCGGGGTTATGTGTGTTATAACTTTATAACGCTTCATTACGGCGCAGCTGTCCTTAACTCTTGAAGCTGCGACTTAATTGAATTGGTGGAAGTGAGCTAGAACTGAGTACATATTTTAAACATATTTTCCAACCACGTTTCTTTATTATAAATAACTTTTGAAACAAGCACGTTGTTCGACACTTTTTAAAATACTGCATTAAAAGGATTTATCATGTATGAACGACGACAGCGTGTTAAAACAATTTCATAACACGATCGCTTTATATAGTGATATCTATATTATAATACTAACAAAAATATGACTCCTGAGACAATTTGAACTTTCTGAAAGTATGCTAACTCTTAATTTAACAAGCATATTAATTTAAGATACTGACTTCGACATTAAATATTCGCTTGACACACGACAGGGTATTATCTGACAATCAGTAAATATTCTAATCTATTGATAGAAGAAAACGATATAGAGTTTCGCTAATAAACGCGCCACGAAACCTAGGCTGAAAGACGACGCCAATTATTAATGATGATAATGTCGAACGTAAATCTGCAACAATGTTAGCAAGTTGCAACTGCAATTCTTGTTTAAACCTCTGCTTAGTGCTTAGTAGTAAGTTAATTTAAAATTATATATTTATATACTATGATTCATAAGCGGTCACAAATGTGTAAATAATCTTGATCTTAAAAGTTTGTTTCCAATTTAGGAGGTGTGGCCTCAGGGCCTCAGGCAGGATGCTTGGACGAATTTTCCAACTTGATATTAAAGGGTTTTTCTATGCTAACTAAGGGGAAGAGATTTGAAATTTCGAAGAATTTTCTAATGATAATGGATTATGTGACATGATTATGATTCGAATTTTATAACATTATTTGAATCATTACGAGATTGATCTTACAGAGAGGATCCGAATGACGAGTTACAGTTACCTTAGCGATGTTGACGCTCCCATTTACGGTAACAAGTCTCATAAGGGGTGACCAGCCTGATCTAGAATCAGGATCATCCACCTGAAAAAATATTTTAATAAACAGTTGTAATAACAGCTAGGTTTTCGCTCGAGTTTTGGGATGATCTCAAAGAGGTTAGGGCTTTACTGTCCCATCAAAATAAGGAATCAGATCGAAACATCTATGATCTAAATCTTTGGTTCAATATTCATTATAAATGGGTTTAAATGGAAACATAATTTGTTAAACAAGTTGTTTGTAAGCCGTGGTAGGAATCCTCGTCGAGCCCCGAATTGCATTACAAGGGTTATTGATACAATGTGTCTTATGTCTCCCTGGTAACCGACCCTTTGTTTGAAGGATGAGGATAATAACTACTATGCAGTGTATTTCATTGTAGATACCAGATTATCATACTGTAGCAATATCACATGTTTACATCTGGGATTATGAGTGAGCCGCATTCCAACCATACTGTAGCAATGTTACATGTTTACATCTGGGATTATGAGTGAGCCGCATTCCAACCATACTGTAGCAATGTTACATGTTTACATCTGGGATTATGAGTGAGCCGCATTCCAACCATACTGTAGCAATGTTACATGTTTACATCTGGGATTATAAGTGAGCCGCATTCCAACCATACTGTAGCAATGTTACATGTTTACATCTGGGATTATAAGTGAGCCGCATTCCAACCATACTGTAGCAATATTACATGTTTACATCTGGGATTATAAGTGAGCCGCATTCCAACCATACTGTAGCAATGTTACATGTTTACATCTGGGATTATAAGTGAGCCGCATTCCAACCATACTGTAGCAATATTACATGTTTACATCTGGGATTATAAGTGAGCCGCATTCCAACCATACTGTAGCAATGTTACATGTTTACATCTGGGATTATAAGTGAGCCGCATTCCAACCATACTGTAGCAATGTTACATGTTTACATCTGGGATTATAAGTGAGCCGCATTCCAACCATACTGTAGCAATGTTACATGTTTACATCTGGGATTATGAGTGAGCCGCATTCCAACCATACTGTAGCAATGTTACATGTTTAGTGTTTACATCTGGGATTATAAGTGAGCCGCATTCCAACCATACTGTAGCAATGTTACATGTTTACATCTGGGATTATAAGTGAGCCGCATTCCAACCATACTGTAGCAATGTTACATGTTTACATCTGGGATTATGAGTGAGCCGCATTCCAACCATACTGTAACAATGTTACATGTTTACATCTGGGATTATAAGTGAGCCGCATTCCAACCATACTGTAACAATGTTACATGTTTACATCTGGGATTATAAGTGAGCCGCATTCCAACCATACTGTAGCAATGTTACATGTTTACATCTGGGATTATGAGTGAGCCGCATTCCAACCATACTGTAGCAATGTTACATGTTTACATCTGGGATTATAAGTGAGCCGCATTCCAACCATACTGTAGCAATGTTACATGTTTACATCTGGGATTATAAGTGAGCCGCATTCCAACCATACTGTAGCAATGTTACATGTTTACATCTGGGATTATGAGTGAGCCGCATTCCAACCATACTGTAGCAATGTTACATGTTTACAATCTGGGATTATAAGTGAGCCGCATTCCCACCATACTGTAGCAATGTTACATGTTTACATCTGGGATTATAAGTGAGCCGCATTCCAACCATACTGTAGCAATGTTACATGTTTACATCTGGGATTATAAGTGAGCCGCATTCCAACCATACTGTAGCAATGTTACATGTTTACATCTGGGATTATAAGTGAGCCGCATTCCAACCACCAGTCTCTGGATCGGATCCCGTCTTCTTCTTTTGACCTCACACTTCACGCCACAAAATTGACTTTTAGTTTTCAGATGCCACACATAACATGATAACAATTTCTGGACGCATGCAAGCCTTCAAGTGTGCGCCATGTTTACTGATTTACATAGCAGTATTCTGTGCTGAATACTTGCGATGTCACGGCAATCTCAGCAGTGTCTTCCAATTTTGTTCACGTGAAGGAGAAACAGTTGATGTAATGTGTTGACTGGAGCAACATGCACGCTTGATTATTTATCTTTAATATGACAGCCAAAGTTACTCTGTTTTAAACAATGCAAATGGACAATGAGTTTAACACTGTAATCCACCCTCTTTTCATTAAAACCACCGCTGATTTTGAGGCTTTGTGGTCTGGAATGTTTAATTATGATTGATTCAAAGAAATTTGGATTGGATCCCAGATAGAATTTGTAACAATAGCTTGTTGGATGAATGGTTATTCAAATTCAGTTTGATCAGGTTGCAAATTGTAGTTACAGCAAATACACGAATTTCCTGTTTATTAACATGAACACTTCATTCGATAAACTAAAATGCTCGCATTAACGCTATAAGTTTTTTAAATTTTTAATCGCTTAAAAATTTAGCCACTGATGTTAAATTCCATTCTTTATCAATTGGCTCCAGTTCATTTCGTTTAAATTGGGTGTCCAATGACCAATTGCAGATTGCAGATTGATATCCCACATTTTTGTGATAACACGTTGATTCACAGATCATGCCAATTGTAAAATAAGACTTCTGATATGAGCGGTATTAACCTCCAATATGAGCGGTATTATATGTTCAGTCTGTAGATTTAACCAGGAGACTTGTACGAATAAACGTAAATCTGTGAATTATTGGTTGTAAATTTCCCCATCAATCTAGCACAATATACCACGTACAATTTTAATATCATATAGGTGAATTTTGCATAAATAATTTGAACACCACATTTCATCACATTAAATAGAACTTTTTTTCTGAAAATATCAATATACAGATGAGGCTTGATCTTGAATCGAATTAAGAAATTATTTGCATTAACATGAAATAAACTATAACTTAAAAGCAGCCCAGTGTTGACTCAGTATCAACTGGATGAACACCTTCAGTTCCTACTACCTAACGTTTGCGAGGTGGGAACACACTGTACAGATTATAGAGGTGTCACTCAACTGCTCGACAATCAACATGTAACCAATTCGGGGCAGCTTTGTATTGAACCTGCGGAACTCGTCCCTTTCTTTTCAGATTCTGAACCAGTCTAAAAACTCGAATTGGCACATATTAAATTTAGGTCGTGCTTGCAAGTCATCAATATCCTAACCGCATTTCAACATGACTCCACTAAATGCTCTAAAATATCGTGGGTCGAAATTCAGTGAGTTGAACTACATGTGTGGGAAATAAAAGATGCTTATGTCAAAATAATTTTTAAGAAATCTGGCGACTTGCATCCCATCATCTTTGGACCATTTTTAAAATCATTAATTTCGATTAAATTAGCAGTTCTACTAATACTCCATTTCTGCAAGCAATATTTACACAGACTTTGGAGTGAAAACTTTGGAGTGAGGTTGGTTCTGGAGAAAGATATTTATTATTCCACAATCTATTACCGAAGGACCTCATGCTTCGTAAAATTAATTACTCTTGTTTCTGCAGAAAGCAGCGCCCGGTAAATAATTCACAATAGCAAGCTGCCGCTTCAGGCCAAGCTGTTCGGGGTAATGAAAGTGAAACGTGGCCTTCAATTTGCAAATGAAGGTAAAATGTACAGTCAGTCTTACGTTGTCCGTTTCATCAAGGATCTTTTCGATAACATTCGTGTGGCCTCCGTCGATCGCCCAATGAAACGGAGAAGCGCCTGAAAGGCAAAATGTGTTTTAATTATAAAGATTAATGCTCCGGCTCACGGATAGACGTAGAAATAAAGTAATCAAAATACCAGCTCCGCAAAACGTTAGCAGATGCTGCTGTTCGGTTATTAGTTTGGTAAATAAGGTCTTATTATTAGAACACTGCAATATGGACTGTGGACATTACATTGAATGAACTTCAGTATGTTCGTAAATCTGAATAGGTCCTTACTGACTGAGAAGCAAAGAACAGATTTGTTTTCAGACGTGACAGCACTTCACAGACGTAATGGACTACTTGCACTTGATTGATTGACTTACAGCCTAGCCTGTCATGTTTGAAAACAAGTATTCCATGCTACCAGTAAGCTCCACCGAGCCAGTATATTGAGTAGAATACAAGTAGCTCCTAAATATTGCTTCTAGATATATTAGCTTCTAAATATTGCTCCTAAATATATTAGCTTCTAAATATTGCTCCTAAATATATTAGCTCCTAAATATATTAGCTCCTAAATATATTAGCTCCTAAATATATTAGCTCCTAGATATTGCTTCTAGATATATTAGCTCCTTAATATTGCTTCTAGATAATCTATAGATATTGCTTCTAGATATATTGCTTAGTGTGTAGTCCCGCACGAGCTCCCACAGTCCGCACCTCAGTCGACCTCGCACGATCGAGTAGACTGCAGTGCGCTCAGCAGGGGGTACTGAAATTACCTGACTTACCTGACTTGTCTTTTACAGTCCATTTAGCGCCGAACTCCACCAACGCGTCAACACAATTCACGTTTCCATGGTAACACGCCAACATCAAGCTGCCGTCAATTGTTTGATGTTAATATAATCTTCATCACAAAACATTGGTAAATGTGATATGATATGAGGAGAATGCCCAACCCACATCGAGTTTTTATCAATCCAATATCGATTGTTTTAATGAATCTGTAATGTAATAATCGGATTGCCACTCGATTTCAGGGCAACATCATCGCGTGAGTGATGCAGCAGTCGCCACTCGCCAGCCAATGGTAAAATCAGAACTTCAACTGGGACTGAGTAAGTTACCCATTAACCACGGTAAACATATTACCAGGGATGCTTAATAAGAGAGTTTCAGTATCCATGACAACGTAAAACTATTATGCAAAAGTAGCTATAAGTGGGGCTTGGTTATTTTGTGTGACAATTCTAAGAAGGTGTGTGTAGGTAACATGCTACCGGTATAGTACCAGCGATAAGTAGGCTGAGTCTGATAATGGGCCATAGAAATGGGAACGAGATCGAGACCATGTAACATGAGATGTATTGAATGCGGTGATAATTACAATTTATTGTTATGAGGTAAAAATGTAGAGAAGAGACCGCTGCAATTAATTGATTAATTATCCCTCCTCCATTGTAGTAACCAAAATCTCAACTCTGAGCCGACTTTTTAGTCGGAATGGCGAAAGAATACTCTTACTTTTATTTCACAGCGTCATTATCATATACAAGCTACAATCCGCATAGAAAATGTCGGACAGTGAGTGGTCCTCGTGTTTGATGTAAAGTAATACAAAATAAGTTTGTCAGAATTCAAAATAACAATGCCAGAAAGTATTTTCTTTATTTTTACCTGTCTTTTCCAGCAGAGTTTGAGTATTTCATGTTTGCGTTGTGGTCCAATAATATCTTAGCAATGCTGAAAGGATTTATATCAGTTTTTATCAATACTAACTCCGAAATAACATGTTATTCGGTGGACGAAATTTAAACTTTTCAGCCGTTTCTCCAACTCAATAATAAGTCAATACTTACTCGTCATACCCCTTGACACAAGCATTCATTAACGGCGAGTTTCCCATTTTGTCGGGCGCATTGATAGCAATATCCCTGAAAAATTGAACTTGAAGTGGAGATACCACCACAGACAGACGCTGAAACTAGAGCTTTCAGATATCAACCGTAACTAATTTTTCTCATTTATAAATCAACATGCCACCCAGATTGAGTTACATGCTCGAGAATTGCTCATATCATGTTAACTAACTATGTTAACATGTTGTATAAACAAACTGTGTTATGTCTCTGTTAACACAATTTTAACACGTGCAGAGTAATTAGATTTTACGAAACAATCTTCACGGAGTGAACATACTCGTCAGCAAGAAGTTTCTTTAATCCAGAAACACTTCTCGTTGTGACCACTCTGTGTAAGTCTTCTCCTGTCATGGGCTTATCTGAAGAGAGGTAATTCAAATGTAGAGAGATGCATATATGTGTGAAGTGTTTTTAGACGACGTGAACAATGTTGACAGTAATTTTTAAAGGCCCATTTTATTAAAAGCAATTCTGGCCTATGAAATGTATGCTTGATATTCATCAGTCAATACATTAATCATGTGCATCGCATCTTTTTTTCATGTGTTCAGATCCATTGCATGATCAACAGATCGCGTACATATACTGTGAATTGTCATGTAAATTTGTGGGCCACAGAATTCAAAAGCATTTCTGACGAAAAAAAAAAACAATCGAATTCATGAAATTTTATAATGAATAGAGTCATTTTTATTGCGCTTCAAAAAATTACCACAGCTTTACAAAGATCATATCAATAGTAGATTGTAGCTTTTCTCAGAATTGTGAAGATTTAGGCGAAATTGCTCTCAAAACACCGTTAAATAATAAATATCCTTGAAAACGAAACATTTTTGGCACACCTTGCATCTATTGCATCGTATTGCCAATAATTGAAAAAAATCTATTTAAACTTACTTTTAGTGACGACTTCGGTTACAGGACTCCAGTCACTGTTCTCTTCGCCCATTGTAAACCTCAATCTGAACTTGTAGCATGTCTCGTGTGTTAAATCTCTTACTTCAGTCTTCTTCCCAAACCCTCTGTGGGATAGATATCTTCGATTTAAAATCATTGATAGTGCAATACTCTTAAAAATTAATTGGCCCAGTGCAGGGACAAAAGGATTTCGCGGCATGTACGAAATCGCGAAATTTCCCATTCTCCGCGACAAATTTTATGTATAGTTTAATGTATAGCCTGTTAAATTTCGCGGTACCACGATTTTTGGCCAAAATAATCGCGAAATCCTTTTGTCCCTGGCCCAGTGTCATCCAGTCAATATACAGGATGACCCAAAAAAGGGCAACCAATTGATTGTGGGCAGCAGATGTTATGTGCTGATTTGATACCTGATCGGCTCTAACAGAGCTGCTGACTCGTTAGCATGCAGCTGAGTACCGGACACCTAATCAGTTAATGAGGTGGTCAGCCGATCCTATGAGCTGATTAGATCTTGCAGCTATTGACAAGATGGATTACATGATCGTCTGGATATTCTGGAGCATGATAGCACATGACTTGAAACTGAGACGAGTTATTAACAAAAGCAACTTGGTTGCCTTTTTTGGGACACCCTGTATTATTGCACTGTAAAGTTGACTTAAATATGCCAACATTTTCATTAATTTCCTGATAAATAGCGTGTACATCAGAAATATGTCATAAACCAATATTACAGAACTGACGTATAGATAGTCTCATAATCTTCTTCATTTGGTGCACATAGTTGAATCAGTACTGAAATGCGAACATCTTTTGACTTTGGAACTTTCCAGAACAACTCAGCACTGTGATGAGTGACTTTCCCCGGTACAGGAGGGTTTGGCCTATCCAGCCCTGTCAAAGAAAGTTTTGTTTAATCCATTTAAGTTCAAAAATTCATATCACAGAAAAAACTTTTCTATTTTCTCATCCATTAAAAAATTTAAAAACTGTTTGGTTGAATGTGATAATTAAGAACTGGAGGAGCAAGTCATCAAAATGTGTATTATAATGACTTATCGATGTACAATAAAGCTTTTGTGATGTTTTTAAATAAAGACACATTAAGGTGATAAATGCATTACCTGTCATTTAGAAGATGTAAAGTGAAAATGTCTTACACCATAGCCATAGCAATCGCCTAAAACTATTGGGTTAATACTTGAACAGAAAGAACAATTTAAAAGAACAGGAATCACAATAAGGAAGAAAACCAAAAGAAATATTACACCTGTTGGATACAATCATTAAATAATAGCTTATCACAGTGGCATAACGTTTCATGTCACGCCACTGTCAAGTAGGTAGCACATTACCTTCAGACATGTCCTTGAACAGCTTCTGTCAACTGAAATTACTACTAATCCAAGTTGAGGCAATCAGCCGACGCGCGGCTTTTATGGTTATATATGATATGTTTAATCAGTAATAAAGATCAAAATTCAAATTTGTAAAATTTGTATTCCTTATTATTTTTTTATCAAGACACTTATTTTACTTCGGAGTATTCCAACAGCCACATTGTTACACAAGTGCAACCAGCCAATTACAGGAAGCCGAAGGATTTGTTTTTAGCCAGTGACGGTTAAGGTAGTGTATACCATACTTTCTTCGCCCGAGACTTTGCTGCAATGTGCAGCTCCTCATTTAACCCTCACACCCGATTTCTCGAGTATTCGGCTGAGTAGACAGGGGTGCTGCATAGACCACTCAGGATCCTTAGCTGAACGTCAACGACGCTCACCCCACGACCAGGCAGACAGTGAGATTTGAGCCCGCAACCTCACGATTGCAAAGCTGGCGTTCTAACCAACTACGCTACATGGCCGTAAAATTATTATTATTAAATCTAATAATTTAATTAATTATTAACAAGCCCCTTAACGTGGGCAATAACATACGCTTTAAAAATTATATAAACAAATTCGAGTCTATTTTTCCGATTTTGATAATTGTCTCTTTAGATCTGTTTCTGTCTTTCGTGGGATTTCCCACATCTGCTGGTTGAGAATGCTCATCCTAACATACATGATGCTTGACTGCTTTATTGACCCGGGCAGGTAGGTAGCACAAGAGTAACACGTTCTGACTTTGTAAATTCGTGAATCGTCTGATCTTTTGATTGTCTGATGTTTCGCATATCATTGGATGATCAAACGTATTCGCTGCAATGCGAAAATTTTAAATAATCTACTGTATATTTACTATGTGGTTTTCGGGAGGGAGAATTCAAATTTTGTGAATTTGTACAAAGTTTAACTGTGGGCTGAAGATCAAGAAAACAACAAATTCAAGAAAACAACAAATTTTTATTTAAATCAATTATAGCAACAATTTGAAAAACTTTAAAGCTCTTCTATTACCATGGAATATACTACGGGTATGGTGACTTGGGCTATTGAGTTGTTAAGTAGATTAAGATTAGTAAACCTGCACTTGCATTGTATATTTTATAAAAACTAGAAATTAGGCTTCACGGTAAAATGGAGAAGCAGGCTGATCTTGGAGAGAGCAGACCGTAAAGTTTACGCACCCACCAGGGCTACCTACCTACCCCAGTTGTTCTTTTTGGTTTATCAGCTTGTATTGTTATATTTATGGACCCCAAGTCACCATACTAAGAAGGAGTATGTAAAAAAAAATAATAATAATAAATTAAATTAATATCATCATATCTGTTTAAAACAGTAAAAGTCAAGTTGAGGATTGACTTTCCTAGTTAATTTAAAGGTTCAAACGTTTGGGAATATAATAATGTTGGTATTTGTATCTGCTGCAGCAATAATATCGAAATATCATTTGTCTAGAAAATTTTCGCCACTTCAATAGATATTGGGTCGGCAATTTGGTGAGTGAGTGATGAGATGGTTTGGTCTGTGATTGAGTGAGGGGCGATGTGAAAGTTGTGGTAAGTCCAGGTGTTATTATTGTTGATGGATTGAGATCCCAGGATGATACTTTTACAGCGTAATTTAACCAAAGATACAGAAGATCTAACTTCATAGGCCTCTGATACCTTCCATACACCATAGTCATATTGTGAAATTACAGTTCAGTATACTCATCTGCATTCTATTTGCCATATACCACAATTACCAGCAAAAACGATGCATAACCTCAGTCAGCTACAAAACCTTATCTTATATAACGGGTGATACTCGTAAAATATTTGTTTCAAATATCAGGACCGTCGACTAGTCCAACTCGGCCCGTGGCCTGCAGTAGGTTATAAACCTACAAAACCTTATCAAGTGGATTGTTGACCACAGTTATTTCAGGATAATAATATTAAGGTTTGGGGTCCCCTTCAATAAATAAACTCTGAAATGTATAACAGGACAGAGGCTCACAATTTTATAAACATCTTTGGAAATTGCCAAGTTTAACTATGTTCAATTAATAATAAATATTTGATGAAAGCGCATATATGTATATATAAAAAATCAATTTCAAACAATAACCTTCAATATTTATATTTTTATAACACGCAACAAAATCAGCTCCCACTAAATCTAAACGGGTGATAATCTTGTAACGCGATGCACTACTGGGCCGCTTTGTAGGTTTACCACCTACCAGGACGCGCGCGCGCCGAGTTGGACTCGTCGACGATCCTATATGGAACAAATATTTTACGAGTACCACCGTTAAGGGCCGCGCCGCGCATCCAATAATTCTTCTCGCAACCACAGATCGGCGAGATGCGAAGGATTAAATTCGTGAATCAAGTGATAGTCATAAACTTGACATACGTTGCATGCCACTTTTCGTTGTAGGTCTACAACCTACCAGGACGCGCGCCGAGTTGGACTCGTCGACGGTCCTGGAACAGATATTTTACGAGTATCACCCGTTAACACTTTTCGCCGCCGAAACATGTATAAATCATAAACACTCAAATATTTGTTTCAAACCGTCCAACTCGGCGCACGTTTTAATAAATTACAATTTTACAAACTCGATCGCTCGCCTCAATTTTTAAATTGTTGTGAAAAGCACTGATGGTATGAAAGAATTAAAAATCGGTGTATTTTAGGAATCACCCCCATTCCGTAGATGCAGGTAGAGTTAAAAAATGCTTTCTGGAGAGTTATAGGCAAAAAACTGTCATGTTTTTGTCACGTGACAGGCTAGTTAAAACGAATTCTATTGTTAATTCATAATTAGAGCCCATGTAGGTTAGGGTTGTAGTTTCACCTATTATATAGCCATGAGTCTAGTACGCGTACTTCGTGATGCGCTTGTTTTTGTATCACGTGGTGACCCCACGGTCGCTTCACTGTATCGTCTTCGACGATACAGGAGAGCCGCGCACTTCGTGCGTGGCGGGTCATACAACGTATGACAAGCTTGTTTCACAAGTAATATATTCTGTGTCGCCTTCGGCTGTCGCGCGCTACTGCAAGCCCAGCAATCCTTACTGGCTGGCAATATTACTACAGGTGATTGCATCTTCCCAGCTTGTTGAGCTCCGCGCGCGTTCGAAAGTTCATTGCATTTGCACGCTGCAAACATTCCAATAATACAATTGCACCATGTACTATTATATACCACGTGATACAATTCAGCCAATCGGAGAACAGGAATCCGCAAAGTTAAAGCTGCGCACTTTTATAAAGCCCAAAATAAGACTTTTCGTGATAATTCAAAATCTATAATGTCCCTAATTTTCCTCCTGGGGAGGTAACTTTAGTTTTACGAAACGAACATTTTGTTGAAAACCAGAACTTTCTATTTCTTTTATTGCTGAAATTAGGCCCTTATCAGTAAGGTTTCCTGGGAGTGAGAGGGTTCTGGATAGAGCAAGGTTGTGGTTAGGTTTATGGATATTGAATAGTTTCGGTGTTATGGTTAGGGTTAGGGTTGGATTAATAAAGGTTTATCTAAAACCGTTTTGTTTGGCTGCAAAACCATAAAAACCAAAGTCACGCGATAATTTTAAGGCGAGAGAATTATTAAAAACCAACAAAATCAGTTATCTTAAAATGTAACAATACAACACTGCCACACATTTGTAAATTTACAATTTATAGACCATGCGAGCTTTGCGGTTTGCAGAATGCAGTTACAGACTTATTAAATGTTAAAGCTGAGTAGTAAGCTACGCAATATTGGCACATAGACTGTCTAACTATGAATGGACTCAACCAGAAAAATGTCAACAGCATGACCAATTGGCACTGCCCTTTTTGTTTGGTTTCACCAATCCCCACATTCGAAACTGCTGAAGATGTGTGTTATGTGTGTAGGAACACTCTGACACTTCAAAAATCTAACAGTCAGTGTGAGACAGCTATTGCCACAGAGAAGCTTAATACCATCACAGCTTTTGGTGAAAAGCTTGCCAAGGTTGACTTTGACAGTCTAAACGACAGCATTGCTGCCATCCAGAACCTTGACCTCCATATCAAGCACCTACTGGTAAGTGACAAGGGCACTGCTCCAGCATGGGTTGAAGTGATGGAAGGAGATCTAAAGCAGCTGAAAACTTCAGTTGACTCTACACTCGGAAAAGTTTCTGAGTCTGATAGTGGCCTAACAGAACAGATTAAAGTGTTGAAAAAGCAACTGCAGGACTTTTCTACTCCTCAAGTAAGTGCTCAATCTTCCTCCAAGACCAACGATCTCATGGAAAAAATAGAGAAGAATCTCCAGGAGCTAAATTCCAAGCAGTCTCTGGAGACGAATCAGGAGCTAACAGCCATTAGACAATCTTTGAACACTCTTGAGCGAAATTCTTTGGCTTCTGCTGACCATTTAAACGTCCAAATTACCAGTTCTTCACTTGCCCCTGGCCCAGACCTAATAGCTAATGAGCATCTCCAATCAAAAGAAGAACCAGTTGTAGGCGCTATAGAAGAGTTTATTACCACAGAAGAGCAGGAAACTCTCCTCCTTGCCTGCCAATCACTTGACGAGGATTTTGTTGTGGAGGGAGCTCGTGCTGTGTATTCTTTGGGAGAACCATACAAGTATAATGGCTCCAAGTCATCCAATGGCCAACTAGCTTCAACTAGCTTCTCCAATCTAGTGGACAAAATCAATGGTGCATTCTGTAGTGGTGAAAAACCGAAGATCAATAGCCTGCTGATCAATCGCTTCGAAGAGGATGGCTCCCTACCGAAACACTCGGATGATGAAACTACCATCCA